TGTGTGTGTGTGTGTGTGTGTGTGTGTGTGTGTGTGTGTGACCACAAAGGCCAGAAGAGAGCATCAGATCCCCTGGAGCTGGCATTACAGGCAGTTGTGAGCCACCTAACATGGTGCCAGGAACTGAACTCGGGTCCTCTCCCAGAGCAGCAAGTGCTCCAAATCACTGAGCCTCTCTCCAGCCCTAATTTCTTTTTCTTAAAGTATTGGCCTAAACTTCCAAACCATGGTTGTCATTGGACATCTTTTTCTTTGTTCTTGATATTAAAGGGATTGAATCTGTGTTTTTGTACAAAGTGTAATGTTTGCTACATTGGTTTGGAGTTTATAATTCTTATGAAGTACAAAAATTCCCATCTGAGTTTTTTGAGGGATCCCCCAATTATAAGTATTAAATTTTATCAAGCACTTTTTTTCTGTAGCTATAAAGTTAAAATATGACCCTGCCATGCTAGGGGTGGGATTCAGTGCCTTTCATTCTAGACCAGTGCTCTACCACTGAGCCCCACCCCAGCCTCTCATTGGTGGATTCTAGATAGGTGCTTTACCACCGAGCCACACCCCAAGCCCCTCACTGGTGGATTCTAAATAAAAGTTCTACCATTGAGCCACATCTCCAACCTCTCACCAGTGAATTCTAGGCAAGTGCTCTACCACTGATCCATACCTTCAGGACATGCAATTTTTGTCCTTTGATCCATGAATATTTTATTATATTGCTAGATTTTCTTTTAAAATTTTTTATTTTTAAGTGTCTGAGTGTTTTGCCTCCAGGTATATAAGTGTACCATATGCAATGCCCATGGAGGCCAGAAGAAGGCGTCGGAAGTTACAGATGGTTGCCCTGTGGGTGCTGGGAACCAAACCCCAGTCCTCTACAAGAAGACCAGTGCTCTTAACTACCAGGCCATCTCTTGAGCCCTTGATAGATTTTCTTACATTGACTCATCTTTGTTTCTGGGAATATGTCAGTTTTTCTTTGGTTCTTGCATGTGGTATCATAAATGGAATTAGTTTATAGCTTTATTTTCTGGTTCTGGAAACTCTCGTCCACTTTTGGAATGAAAGTCAAGCTGGCCTCATAAAACAAGCTTTACCCTCTTTGTATATTAATTGTTTTGGGACAACTTGTTCAGGGCTATCTTGTCCTGGCAATGATTTGTGCTTTAGGAAAGATGCCTTTATGGTACAAGTTGAGTGTAGAAAACCAGTTAAGATGTAGTTACAAAAGGTGTTGGGCTGTGAGTAAACTATGAAGCAGAGAATATGGGGTTCAGAGGTTCTGGAAAGGCCACATTTGGAGGGATTTTGAGACAGATACCAAGGTGGCAGGATTGATCCTCTTGGCCCCCCAATTCCGACACCTTTCGGATAAGGAGGTAAACGTCTCCACTCATTCCAATTCTGTGGACTCGATTTCTGGTGCACTGTGTTGAAATGGGTTCTGTGGCAGCTCTTCCTTCGAAGCTAGAGAGTGGCAGTTCTGGATATGGGGTTGAGGGTCACCCAATCAAAGAGAAATGGAAATTCCAGAAGACTGGAATTGGCAGGAATGTTTACCTAGGGGATCTAGCTCAGTTAATAGAGTGCTTGTCTAGCATGCACAAAGCCCTGGGCTGAATCCTCAGCACTACACAAACCAGGTGTGGTGGCACACACCTGTAATCCCAACACTCACAGGCAGAAGCATCAGAAGTTCAGGGTCATCCTTAGCTATGTATCAAATTCCAGGCTAGCCTGGAATACAAGGGCTGTGTTTGCCTAGTGGCCTGAATTCAGGACTTCTGTCTTAAGAATCTGGGATGGGCACAATCTTAAGTCTCTTTGTCCCCCAGTTGTCCAGGTAGATGGTGAGAACTCTGCTGGGCAGACAGGGCTCTTCCTGTCGGCACTGCTGGGCCACAGTTCTGCCGTGCGGCTCCTACTGACCTTTGGTGCTAACCCCAACCAGTGAGTGGAAAGGCTGGAATACCCCTACAGTCCTAGGGCCCTGGACACTGGGAGGTGTACCCTATCACAACTCCTCTTCTAGCCCCTAGTGCCTTCCCTGTCCTCTCAGTTAACCCCTTCTTGCCCCCCTCCCTCAGGGACTATTCTTATTTCTAGTGCCTTCCATGCTCACAGTGGTCCCCCCCACAAGCCCCATTGAGTCTTCACATGACCCACTTCCCATGTTCACTGGGCCCCCATCCTGTTCAGTCCCACATTTGCCCCTTATTGTGCCTGTTCTGCCCATTTCTTCATCTATGCCATGCTTGTTTCGGGTTCTTTCCTAGCCGCTGCCTAGACAGCAGCACACCCATGCATGCAGGTGCCTTCTCTGGCCGAAGCTTGGTGTTATGGTACCTGCTGCAGGCTGGGGGTGACCTGCGTTTGCATGACCAGCAGGGCCGCACGCCACAAGACTGGGCTGAACAGGGTGGTGGCAAGCTGAGCTGGGAGGTGAGCAGTGGCCAGGGTACAGTGGGGGTATCACGGCCAGTATGTTCTCCCAGTCTCACCCTGTACCCCACCCAGGTGATGGAGCTGCTGCAGTGGTGCCGCACCCATATGTCAGCACTGGTGCAGAGCGGGGAGTTGGCGCCTACTGCATCCCTGGGTCAGTTGCAAGCTAGCTCTGGACATAGCCTTTGTGGCTCCCTGTCCTCCCCAAGGTTGGCACAGGCAGACAGGTAACAGTCCACACTCTGAAGGTCCCATGCCCATCACACCCAGTGACTTCAGACTTAGTTTCAGCCTGCCTTTTGTCCCAGGGCTCTGAGGCAAGGGCAAATCAGGAGACCCCTCCAAACCCCAGCTTTGGGATATGGCCAGGTAAGATGGAGAGGGCAGGAGAGCAGGGACCATCCCTATCCTCTTGGTGCTCACAGCTCTGTTCCTCTTCTCCAGCTTAGCAGCCTGCAGCCTCCAGCACTGGTAATGGGCATCCCGTTGGTAGACCCCAAGGAGCTGCTGCCAGCCCAGGGCGATACTGACCGCACCTATAAGAGCAGCTCCCACACCCTCATGGCCAAGTGAGAGCTCCTCCCATGTTGTTGAAGAGCTCCTGCCTCCTGCTCCCCTCACAAGGAAATCCTGCCCCTGTATCTCACCTGGTCCTCTCTCCCACTACCTGTTCTCCAGCCTCCTGTGGAAGGGCCACACCGTTACTGTACGGCAGTTGAATCCCCCTGAAGCCCACCCTGACGTGCTGTTGGCAGACCTTCAGCACTGCAGGTATAAGTCCCAGCCTCTGCCTACCAGCACCAGCTGCCCTGACTCCAGCAGTTCATAACCAGGGAGTGTGGGGATAGCCACAGTTCTGCTTAGTCTTCAGCTCTAGGCCAGCACCTAGCATGGGGCCCTCCAGCTATAATGTTCCCCCTTCCTGCACAGTGGCACCCAGGGGTTGGAGGAACTCCAGACTGGTATGGGCTGGTGCTGGCTCTGCCACTGATGAGCTGCGTGATGGGGGGAAGTGTCTCAGTGTCTCCTGCCCAGTGGCTGGCAAGATAGTCTGCCCTGGCCCATAGTAGATGGTCTGTACCCAGGAGCAGCTCCCACCCTGTACAGATTGGGGCTGCTGGTCCAGGGTCTGCTCTGCTTCCTCCAAGCACACTGCACCACCCTGGCCTGCTGCTGCTGATGGCGCTGAGCCTCTCGGAGGACCTATCTGGCCTGAGCCTGCTCTTTGAGCCAGTGTGGCTGGGCTCCCTGCATGTCCTGCTGCACGCACCAAGACCTGATGAGGAGGGTCCCCGAGTCCTGCCAGGCCTGCTGCCTGGTTCCCTGCTGCTGCAGGTATTGGAGGCCCTGCTGTTCCTGCAGGCCCGCTGCTGGGCCCATGGCGGCCTCAGCTCCCATGCTGTGCAACTAGTGAGGCCAGGGCTGGCTAAAGTGAGCCACCTGGAACACGGGCGCCTACTGCACCAGCCCAGGCTGCAGCCCAGGTGAGAGCCTGCCTTCATGCCTGCCCCATGTCCCTCCCAGCAGTCACGAGCTCACCAGACCCATTGGTCTTGACCACAGGCTACCACAGGACCACCCTCAGGGGAGCCCAAGTCCAGGGCTGCCCCCACCCCCTGAACTATATCCATGGCTGCCGCTTGAGCTGATCCGTAGTGACGTGCCCAGTGCTACCTCAGACTTCTACAGCTTCTGCATGCTAGCCCAGGAGGTCTTCACTGGTCAGTGAGTGAACCTGCGCCTGCCCCACAGAAGTATCCCACTAGGGTGGGTCCCCTGATTATTCTTCCTCACAGGAGAGCTGCCCTGGGCTGGGGGAGAGGGGCCTGAGGTGAAGGCTAAGCTGGAAGCAGGTGAGAGCCCAGCCCTGGACCCCTTGCTGCCAGCCCCCTACCAGGCCGTGGTTCAGTCTGGGCTGGGCCTAGAGCCTGCTGACCGCTGGGGCAGCTTGCAGAGCACTCGGTACCTATTGCGAGAGGCCATGACTCAGGTACAGGGAGGTCAGGGGGCCATGGGTAGTTATGGAGCCCCAGGCAGAGCCCATGTCCCCACACTCAGACTCCTTTCCACAGGACTCAGTACTCAAGGTCAGCTCCCCAAAAGAGTGGACTACACTGTTCCCTGTACCCCCAGGTTAGGGGCAAGGAGGATGGCTGGTGCTGGGCACAGCAGAGGTGTGCATCCCCATTCTGACTGTCTGCTCTGTGTCCCTAGAGCATTTGTATGAGGTAGCTCCCAGAGCCAAGGACAGATCCAAGCTTGTGCTCCCCATCCCAGTCCCATCCCAGGTAGGAACCAGGGGAGAGGTCTGAGAGCTAAGGGAGGTGTGGAGCACCTGGGCAACCCATGCCAGTTCCTTGCCATTGTTCTCTGCAGACCCTGGAGACTCGTGAGGTCACAGGTTACAGTAAGGTCCAGCAGAATGCAGCCTGGGACTCAGGCAGCAGCTTGACTCTAGTCAGCAGCCTCAGCCCCAGCCCCAGTCTTCATCCTGGTTCCAGTCCTGGCCTGGGCCACAGCCACACTCTGACAACCAGGGTCAGCCAGCACTGCTGCCTGGAGCCCAGCTCAACAGTATGGATACCTCTAGCCTGTCATCAGTCTGGGACCCCCCCTCTCTCCAGGGGTGCCCTGGCTCCCTGTCATCTGACCTGTGATTCCCCATTGCATACTGGCTTTCAGGATCCAGCATCCCTGCTGGAGACCCAGAGCTCTAAGGAGCAGTGTGAGAGGAAAGTCTCTCAGGATCCAAGCCCTGCAAGGGCAGCTGTGGCATGTGTGGGACTGCTATGCCGGATCCCTAGCCCTATGAGCCCGCCCCTGCCTGCTGATCCACAGGGAGGCTTCCATTCCCTGAGAACTGTCACCAGGGAGAGCCATGAGGGCAGGCAAAGTGGAACACCTCCCTACTTCCCTCCTCCCAGGCCACTGAGCCTCCAGGCCTGCTGATGGCAGCTCTAACCTTTCTCCTGCAGACATCAGACATCGAGCTGAGTGGAGGAAGTCTCTTCTCTAGCCTACAGGAGTGAGACACAGGCTGTGGTGGATGGCCCCGGGGTCCCTCCCTCATTCCTGAGGTAAGCCCAGGTTTGTCCTGCCCCACTGCTGTCCAGGATGGATCTGCTGGAGGAGATCATGGCAGAGCTGCAGAGCAGATGTCCCCTCGAAGACAAACCCAGGATCAGCCCTGCTCCTGGCCCAGACTCCTAGGATGCCCGTGGGCCTCCCTGCAAACATTACCTTGGGAACCTTTCTGTAAGAACTGAACCCTTGCCTCAGTGTCTTCCCCAAAGCAAAGAAAGTGGTGAAGCAGCTAGTCATTAGTCTGTGCGTCTTCATTTACTGCCTCCAGCAGCCACATTTTTGCCATTTTTATTCATTAATGTTGTCAGGTGGTTTAGTGGGGCACATAGGGAGAGGTGGACAGGAGCCGTTCCCCCACCTCCTGTGCACAGGGCAGGACAGTCTGGAGGCTCCTGGAGGGAAAGGAAGGTCAGGGTGTCAGCCTTGCTCTCCTCCAGATTTGTGCAAGGGCCCCCAGGAGGGAGGCAGGGGATGGGCACATTGATTTTGGTTAGGGACTGTCATCAGAAGCAAGTTACAAAGTTAGAAACCTGGAATGGGATAGGGAACTCAATACAAAACAAGGGATTGACTTGGGCCAAGATCCAGTGGGGGGCCCTTCCTGGCCCTAGTTCAGCAGTAACTTCTGGTCTGGCTCTCAGAGTGTAGAGACCAGCTGGGTGTGGGGTAAGGAGGAGGGGGACCAGCCCCCTCCCCTCTCTGACCCCCAGTTCTATATAAAGATCCTCGGAGCTCGCCTCCCCTCCCATAGGCTGGTGGGGCTGCCCTGTAGAGCAGAAGAGGCTCAGGGGAACTCCAAGGTCCAGGTACTCGATGCGGGGTACGGGGACCCCAGGGAGCTCGCTGCTTCTGGGGGAGGCGGGGAACAGGGGGTCCAGGATCTGAACGGCTTCGGGGGTGGGCAGGAGGAGAGGAAGAGGAAGAAGAGGCAGGTGAAGGTCCCCTGGGCCGGAGAGCTAGGTTGACATAAAGGGGCTCAGGTCGGGTAGGGCGCCGGACAGGGTGCTGGGGAGCTGAGTGGCTAAGATGGTCAGGAGGAAAGCAGGAGGGGTGTGGTGGGTAGCTGAGCAGGAAGTCGGGGGACCTGTGGAGTGGTGGTGACTGACCAAGCATGCCATATGAGGCATTGAGCCTATCAGCAGGCATAGAGCGGAAGGGACTCCAGGACCGGCTGGGGCCAGGGTAAGCAGTCCCTTCCCCTGCCCCAATCTCATAGTACAAATTCTCCCCCCTGTCCAGGCCTGAGGTGGGACCCAGGGAGTTCCTCCAGACTGGGGCTGGGGAGTTAGGTGGAAAGGGCGGGGGGGCCAGGGAGTACAAGCCTGGCTTAGGGACCCCAAGGAAGGGTGGCAGGCACTCCCGGGGGGCTGAGAAGAAGCTGGGGGTAGGACCCTGTGAAGGGACCGAACATGGGGATGGGGCCACTGTCTCTGGGGCATCCCTGTAGGCCCCACCTGCCCTGAGCTGAGTGCTAACCTGGGAAGGGCCTCTGAGACCCCTCCTTGAGGTTCCCAAGGGCCATTGGTTCCTCACCAGGCTCCCATCACTTTGTTGCCTTGGGAGATAGGGTGGGGGACCCGGGGCCCAGGCACCTGGATAGGCTACAGAGTGAGGGGGTGGCCCACTCCCTAAACTCCCCGCTGGCTCCCCGCCCACCTCCAGGGACAGTGAGCGACGGAAAGGGGAGTGGGGAGCAGGCAGGGTTCCCCCCTGCTCCTGTTGGCTCTGTTGCTCTGCCACTTGCTGAGCCCGCTCAGCCAGGGCCAGGGCCATCAGACGTGCTGGGTTCTTGGGGGGTGGGGGTGGGGCCCCACCAGGGCGCAGGAGGGACAAGGGTGGGGGTAACAATGGTGAGTCCATGCCAGAACCTACAACACAGAAAGGAATGGGAAGAAGGTCAGCTAGGTCCTGAGGCAGCCTTGAGGACTGGCCAAACAAGAGTGGGGTTCCACGAACAGGACTCACCGTGCTGGCCCTGAGCTCCCTGGGGACCAGGCAGTGCCAGCTTGCTGCTGATCTCCTGCTGGCAGGTGTCACTTAGCTGGGCCTCAGCTCCACGCAGCAACAGGGGAATGAGATGAGGGCGCAGGCCTGGGCTAGGGCTCAAAGCTGGTGTTGGGGTGACTGAGGCAGGTGTTCCCCCAGCCCCCAACAGTTCCAGGACAGCAGGTGGCACCGATACAGCCAGGGGCTCTGAGATGTCCAGGGCAGTGGGTGAAGCAGGGTTGGTGGGTCCATGGGGTGAGAGGGTCTGTGGGGTTGCTCGGGGTGGGAAGGCAGAAGCAGGGGCTGGGGGTGCTGGACTGGCAGGGGGTGCAGGGTCCCCTGGGGTGGGGCTGCTGCAGCGAAAGGTAAGGGGATCAAAGTCAAGTCCTCGGAGTCCCTCCAGGCAGCGAGGTGGGCTGAAGTCCAGTTCATCACCATCATCGAGCCACGCTGAGGTGCGGTGAGAGGGGGATCCAGAGAGTGGCCCCAGGCCAGCTGCTGAAGACTCCGAGGAGGAGGACGAAGAGGAAGATGAAGAGGATGAGGAGGAAGAAGAGGAGGACAGGCTCTCACAGGAGCCAGCAGGTGCTGGGCCCACAGGAAAAGCATCACTGCTGGAGTGGGGTCGTCGCAACCGGTGTAGTCGCTGGAGGCCTGAGGGGGCAGGTAGTTAGGGATCAGAACCTTACAGACCTCAACATCAGTGAGATCAGGACACAGCTGTGTAGCAGCACCTCCCTGTAGGGCCACCAGACTGACTTGAAAATGTTGACTCTGGGTGATAGAGCAAAGTCATGAACCATCCCAGACCCAGGGCAAGAATGGTCTGGTGACCCTGTGAAGCACGAGTGCAGCAGCATCTTATGCACACTGCAGGTGTGAAGGTGGGACAACCCCTTGGAAAGCCATTGGTTTGGTTCTGATCCAGTCGAGCTGAGGGTGTACTGATACAGGACAGCAGCTCCACTCCCGGGTATGTAGCAGAGCCATCTCCCAGGACAGTGGGTGTGGCAGGAATTGCTGACAAAAGCCACCAAACCCACTGGGAGTAGGCATGCGGTGCACACACAGAGCAGGGGGAGCACTGAGCTGCACTTGCCAACACAGATGAGTTTGTGGCTGCATGGTGAGCAAAAACTCAGGCTGCACATGCAGCATGCTACTTCCTTTCCATGGCACCCTGTGAAAACTTGGAAGGCAACAGGGCATTCACACATATGCCTGTATCTAACCAAACCCCTGCAGTGAGGGGATGGTTGCCATCATGTTTAGAGGATGCCTCTGGGTGGGGGAGGCAGGTGGAAAATGGGAGACACTCAGGTAAGATACTGAGGCTTTTAGTTGTGCCCAGAGAGTTTATAATACTTAGTTTTTTTCAAAAGGAATAACTAAACAACAACAACAAAAAACCTTTAAAGGGCCCTTTGTGAAAAGTGAGTACAGTGGGTACTGCTATAACTTCTACCTAACTTCTACCTAAAACTTATCTAGCTTGTATCTAAAGCCTAGCTTTCAAAGCTTTAAATCCCTTGCTGGGCCTGGTGGCTTATACATGTAATTTCAGCTCTCAGGAGGCCAAGGCAGGAGAACCGAAGAGATGTGGTGCCAGCCTGAGCTACACAGCAAATTCCAAGCCAGTCTGGGCAACATAGCAAGATTCTGTCTTAAAAACAAACAAACAAACAAACAAACAGAAAGCCCAAGACTCCCTTTCCCAATCTGAGACACAACATTTAAAGGTGAAACCAGGGCCCCAATTTCTCCCAGCTGAGCTTGGGCAAAGGTAGGGTTCACGCTGTGCTTACCAGCCCCACTGGCCTGCGATGACAGAGACTCCTCACTCTTGGCAGATCTCAGAGTGACAGTGTCAGGTCTGCTGCCTGCAGGGAGAGGTAGGAGGGGTCATTTACCTTTCCAGGACCATAAGCCACCCCACCACCACACTGTATGGCCTTGATCACCAACCTGAAGGCTGAGGTGGGGCTCGGCTGCCACCCAGCCAGGGCAGGGGCTTCTTTCGGGGCACACTGGGACCCCGGCCCAGAGCAAAGAATGTCTTCCAACTGCTGCCCCCTGGCTTCCGTTGTTTCTCGCATCTCTCTCTTTTCCTCCTGGAGTTATGGTGAAAGACAGGAGGCAGTCTCAGGATCCAGGACCTCCATGCTACTCCTCCCCTCCCCAACATCCCACTCCAGTACCTTTCCACTGGGGAGGCTGGGGTCTTGGGAGTTGTGGGCTCAGTGGGTGTTCCCAGGCGCCCCTGGGTGCGAGCCTGGGCTTCCTCTAGTGTCAGCAGACGAGTGGAAGGACTGCTTCCCGCAAGAGACTTGGGCCTGGGGAGGAGGCAGCGACCTGGGGAGGTCGGAAAGGGGGCAGCCATCAGTTATGGGTCACTTGAGGCCACAGGCAAAGCCAAGCGCCACAGCCCAAGCCCCGGCCCCGCAGCGTGCCCACCCGGGCTGGCAAGGCAGGGGGCCGGTGTAGATCAGGCGGGAATGGGGGGGCAGCAGGCAGGTGAGGAGGAAGGGTGAGGCAGAATGAGCTGATGAGGAGGCAGCTCCCAGCAGCCAGCAAGGGCAGTGGCTCTGGTCAGTTACCTCGGGCCAGAGGGCCCTCCGTCGAGCTGAATCCTGACTGGGCTGGGGTCCGGGGCAGGGCAGGGAGTCTGGGCAGGGCCAGGGTGGGGTCAAGTCTGGGGACCTCCCACCACCTCCCAGGTGGACCCACGGCCCCAAGCGCCCCCAGGAGCTATAAGGGGTGAAGGAAGAACGGCGTCCTGGCCAAGAAGTGGGGATCCTGAGCGTAGGAGCTGAAATGAGAAGGAGGGGGGCGCGGGGAGGGATGGGCCGGGGTGGGGTCCTCAAGGAGCTGGGGGGGAGGTCTAGTCAGTGGGGTAGGGGTAGGGCCAGGAGCCCACCTGCCCTCCCACTGCAGTCCTGACACTGAAGGGCAGGTAACTAGGATGTCAGGGGCTGGGCTGGGCATACCTTCAGAGTCTAGGCCAGCAGAGGTGAAGGTGTCACTAAACAGGACCTCCACATGGGTGAGCAGGAACTCCACCACCACAGACTGCACCCGGACCTCTCTGAAGGCTGCCGCCCCACCAAGCCCCACTGACTCCAGCTCCATAGACCTGAGGGAGGCAATGTACCTTGAGCCGGGTGGGCAGTGTCAGCTGTCTGTCCATACATTCAGCACCTCTGACCTTCTGGAACTGTTACAGCTAGACTGGCCTTTCAGCCTTCCCCCTCAAACCTGCTTCCTCCCTATTTCTCCACATTGGTCAGTGCTGACCAATCACCAGGGCTGGCCTTGATTCCTCTTTCCTTCACAACCTCATTCAATCAGAAAATCCTGTCAGTTCTACCTCCAAAAATGTATGCAGAGTCTAACTTTTCTGAATTCTGCTGCCCATATCCTACCTGGGTAAGTTGGTCCCCAGGGTAGGACTTTAGGAGGTGGGGCCTGGTGAGGAAGGTCTTTAGGCCACAGGGGCATACTCTGGAAGGCAACTGTGGGGTCCTGGCTCCCTCCTAGCCCTTTCATTGTGTCCTGGTCATGAGCTGCGCAGTTTTATTCTGCTGCATACCTCCACCATGTCACCTTGCCACAAGCCCAAAGCAATGGGGTCAGTTGATCATGAATTGAAACCTCCAAAACTGTGAACCAAAACAAACCTTTTCTCTTTATTTTCTGCTTTGTTTTTTAAAATATTTTATTTATTATTCTTTATTTTATGTGTACGAGTGTATTGCCTGCATGTATGTGAGTGTACCCATGTCATGCAATGCCTCGGAGGTCAGAAGGGGGCTTCAGATTCCCCTGGAAGTGGAGTTAAGGACGGTTCGTAGCTGCCATGTGGGTGCTGGGAATTGAACCCAGGTCCTCGACAAGCGCAGTCAGTGCTCTTAATTGCTGAGCCATCTCTCCAGCCCTCTGCTTTGTTTTTTGAGATAGGGTCTCACTACAGAGACCCAGAGTGCTCCTGAGTGCTAAGATTAAAGACATGTACCACTATCCCAGGTACCTTTTCTCTTTGTAAGTTAACTACTTCAGGTATTTTGTTATAGTGACAAAAAGTTGATTAACATACTAGCCTAGTCTCCACTCCTCCTGTATGGATGTCACAGTAGCCTCTTCCTGGTCTCCTGCTCTTGACCCTGCTCCAACAGTCTGTCCTAACCTACAGCCAGAGAACCTGTGCACTCCTTAGGTCAGGCTTTCCAAGCTTAGAGGCCTGCCTTGGCTGCACCTCACCCCATCTTGCAGTCGTCACTATGAGTTGTAAGTCTGGTTCATCACCTGTGACTTCATCTCTTCTCCTCATCCCTCTCCCTTGCTCACCCGCTCATCTGCAGCCCAACAGGCCTCCCAAAGGTTCCTCTAAAACACCAGGGCCCCCATCTGCCTCCAGCGCACTCTGCTCTGACTGGTTTGCTTCTCCCCAGATACCCCATGGGGACCTGCCCTACCCCAGTAGGTCTTTACTACCCCATAGCAGGAAGCAGAGTACAAACCATCTGGTGAGCTGCCCACTTACCGGAGCAGGTTGGGTGCCCAGACTATGGCCAGGTTGCGGGCATGCATGCTGGTGTTGGCGCTGTGTCTTGCCATGCGGGCCAGGTGCCTCAGCAGGTACTCCAGGGTCCTGCAAATAGAAGCAGAGGGAGACAACTGGGCCTCAGCTCCCTGAACCCCCACCATAGTCCTCTTGGCTCTGCCTGTTTACCTGTAGTGTGGTGGGGGCAGCTGCTGGATGACATCGTGGACTCGCACCAGGCGCTCCTCCTCCCCAGGCACTGACATGGCCTCCTGAGATGATGGACAAGCATGATGGCACTGGGCCACATGCAGCTCAGCCTCCTCTCCCCTGCCCAGCCCCCTTACTCACACTGAACTTCCCATAGAGCTGGTAGGTAAGCAAGGGGTTGGGCAGCTCCCGGAAGTAGAGCTTGCAGAGGGAGGACACGCTATGGATGTCCTGCAGGAAGGCAGGGCCAGACAGTTCAGGGATCCTCTCGCTGTCAAACTCATGCCTGAGAACCACCAGGTCAGAGAGAGAAAGACTCCAGTCAGCCTGGCTCACCTGGCCATATCCCCTTACCTCTGCCCCTCAAGGCCCACAGATGGATATTTTCTTCCGTAGTCCCTCTGCAGGGCTATCCATAGAGAGAACCTTATTGATGTTCCCAACAACCCTGAATAGCAAAGACAAGGGGAACCCATTTGGGAGAAAGGAATGTTGGAGAACCCTGCTGTTAGGGTTGTAGTCCTCCATGTCTGGAAAGCTCTAAGGGGCTCAGTGCCATATGGAAGGACTCCCCTTCTCAGCAGGGGGCCTCCTGCTCTCTTCCTGACTTACCTGGAAAGTGCCGCCAAGCAGGATGCCTGACCTTATTTGGAACATGACCTTTGGCATAGTTACCTGGAGTAAAAACTACCCCCAGGTTTTTTCTATATGATAATCAGGCATTGCCCGGTAGTCGGACAATAGGTGCCTACTGCCACATGTAAATAAAGTATACTATAAGCACCTATCAGCTGAAGCATTGGCTGCTGCCTCCACACTATATTTTCCCTGACCCCCACTGAATAAACGGGGCTGTTTCACTGAGTCTGGAGCTGTTTACATCATTGAACCTGCCTCCCCAGAAGGGCTTTCTTCCGTCAGTGCTCACTGGCCATCCTGACCCCACTCGTCGCTCCTGCTCCCTTTGTCCTCATGGACCGGTGGCCAACGACCCACAAGAGGAGAGGGAGCGACCCCACACAGGAGCACTGGGGCTCAGGTACAAGATGCCTCTGCCTGCAGTTACCCACAGCTGCATGACTCCAGATGGCAACTATGCTCTTAACACAAGCCACATGCTGTGCCATCCTCCTGGCTTTAAGCAGTACTGGAAAGTGAAGATGGAACCTCAGGAGCCCTACTCACTCCTCTGCTGGGTTCCTACTGCTCACAGGTAAAGCTCTTACCGCGACCCCATTCCTCATCTCCCTACTCACTCAACCTTCCTGTTCCAACCACCTGGCCTCTGTCAGTCCCAGTTCTTGCCCACATTCCTTCCCACCTCCATGCCACTGTGTATGTTGCTCCTTCTTGGCTCAGAACCTTCTAGTGGATCCCCTAAAGCCCAAACCCTTAGTTATCAAAAAGGTTCTGCACAAGGGGTTAGGGTGTGGCTCAATGACAGAGGGGCTGGGCGCATAGGTTAGCAGTAGAGTGCTTCCTTCACATGCAGTCAAGGGTTCCATCCCCAGCACTGCAAAATCAAAAAAAGGCCCTGCACATGCTGCCTCGGTGAGTCTCAATGTCATCTCCTGCTGCTCTCCCGTGGATGGTTGCTATGTACACTGTGGACACTTTTGCCAGGACATACCATCATCTGCTCTTTCACCTCTTTGCCGTGAGGCTTCTGCCCTAACTCCCCACTCAAAAATGCAATCCTCCTTCCTGGCTTTTTTGTTTAGGTCTGGCTTTCTGAGACAGGTTCTTATGTCGCTGAGGCTGGCCTTTTAATCTGTGATCTCCTGCCTCAACCTCCCAAGTGCTGGGATTACAGGTGTGGCCACTATTGGCGCTCCTTCTCTGTGTTCTTTCTTCCTCCTTAGCTCATCTGTTTTCTGCATAGCACCTCTGGTACTCTGAACCTTCCTGTTTGTCTGTCCTGCCCACAGATGAGCCCATTCTGGGTTCTCATTCACTGCTGTGTGCCCAATGCCTAGAGCAAGCCTTGGCATTTGGCAGGATCAGTGAAGGCCAAGTCGTCTGTTTGGGATGCTGGCTCTACTTTCACTACATTCAGCCTCAGCTGAGGTGTCACCTCAAGGAAGTTCTCCCTGACTGCAGCCTCAGTTCACCACTGTACTGTCTTCCTAACTTGTGACAGCTGTGACCCCGACACACAGCACAGGGCTGGGACAGAGAATGATCATAAGTGTATGGGGGGGGGCTCACCGCAGCCTCTGGATGTTGGAGGACACCCCTGAGAGTCGGTAGATTCCATCCACCACACCGTGGGCCTCGATAAACTCAGAGCAGCAGCGCAGCACCTGGGGCACTGGGAGAAAGCAGCAGGGTCAGAATTCTTTTCAGAGCTGTATGCTCGAGAGAGTAGGGGCAATCCCAAGCCTCACCATCTTGGCCTGAATTGCTGAGGTGCTCTCCAAGGTCACAGCCAAATACTCTCTGCCTCAGGATTCCCCGCTGGCGCAGCCGCTGGCGGGAAGGGCGGGAGCGCATGAAGGTGCGAAGGAGTCCAGCCAGCTTCCCTCTCGGCCGGGGCACAGCTGTAAGGGGAAAAGCATAGTCAGCAGAGCCATAGGCCTGGTGGGGCAGGGGGCAGAGGTCTGACCCCTTGTTTCCATTACCTGAGGTCAGAGAGGAGATACCCTGGGGAGCTGGGATGCCACACAGGGGACCATCAGCATCTGTGGGGTATACAACAGGTAGAGAAAGGATGGATGGTAGGCAGAAGGTGCAGGAGGGTAGCCCACTCTCCAGGACACTTACCCGCTTTTAGGCCAGGGCCTGGCCTCTCTGTAAAAAGCTCCACACACTCACTGGGGAAGAAACCGACCTGAGGAAGGGTCAGGATCAATGACTGGGCCACCCTAGTGGCATGGTGCCCTACTGTACTTGTCCACCCCCAGCCCAGCTCACCTGGAAGCCCCGCTTGCCCCGCCACCAGCTCCTGTCCTCTGTAGGTGGCATGTCAATCACCGAAACAATGTCTCCCACCTGTGAGTAGGTGAGAGAGAAGGTCAGAAGGGGCAAGGTCACAGGGAAACAATGTCTCCCACCTGTGAGTAGGTGAGAGAGAAGGTCAGAAGGGGCAAGGTCACAGGGAAACAATGTCTCCCACCTGTGAGTAGGTGAGAGAGAAGGTCAGAAGGGGCAAGGTCACAGGGAAACAATGTCTCCCACCTGTGAGTAGGTGAGAGAGAAGGTCAGAAGGGGCAAGGGACACAGGGAGCCCAGCTAGAGTCTGCTCCTGCCCAGCCTTACCTCAAAGGACAGCTCATCTGGTGCCTGGGCCGTGTATCGTTTGACCACGTGGGCAGCAGCCACTGCAGGAATGTTGAGCGAGGCCTCCTCACTGAGGAGCAGGCGTCTTCCATGGTTGTCCAGCTGAGATGGATGCAAGATGTGGCAAGGAGAGGACAGAAGTTGTTAATAAAGGCAGACAAGGTTCCTCCATGCCCAGTGAGGCCACCACCTAAGAGCCTCGGTTACTCAGATCTGTTGGCCCAACACTTAGATTCCTGTTTCCTCTAAAAAACAAAATAAGAGCAACAACAACAAATTACTTCTTTTTTCCCCACCCCTAACATGTCTCAGGACTCTCATGTCCCCAAGACTTTCCATATACCACCTGCATCTTCATCCTTCATAGCAGACACCACATTTTGTCTAAAACTCATTTAGTTTAAACCACTGCTGGCCAGATATAATATGAGTTACAACCAACGCATTTCTCACTGGTGTATCTTTAAATCACCACAGCCAAACAGCCACACACACACACACACACACACACACACACACACATACACACACACTTGAAGGCACACGCCCACACAGATACTAAAATACCAATGCCTCCTCTCCTTTGGCTCCTTTCTCTTCTATGCCCACACACACTCCCAGGCTGCTTGTGCCTCAGACACTCCTCACTCTATCCCAGCTCCAAGTCCCCCATGTTAGGCCCACCTCCATCCAGGTGAGCACGGGCCCACAGTTGAGGTTACTGTCCACCAGTCCTGACAGCGTCTCCAGGTACTGTAGTAGCAGTGGCACCAGCATCTGGGGGCAGATTGAGTGGGGGCCGCTCCTGTGAGTAGATGCAGATAGAGCCCACTGCCCTCCCACTGTGCCCAAGGCTCATCTCTCAGCAGGGCTGAAATTCAACCTGGATGCCTGGATGTGGCTCAGATGCTAAGTTCTGAAATACTGACCTATCACGCTGGGCCATACTCTGAGGGGCAACTAATAGGACTATGTCAACACATGGAAGCCCCTGGACCTTCCTGTGATCTCCAAACCAGAGACCCTCCAGAACCCTGTTTTATTTCTAAGCCTTGTTCATTCTGATGGTTGGGACTCTGACCATAGTACTTCAGCTTCCCAAGTGCTGAGATTACAGGCTTATACCAATTCCAGGCTCGAGAGGTCTTCAGATCTGTTGCCCTGGCCTGGATGGCTGCTCCCATGGCTGATACCCTGATGCTCAGGCAGGGACTGAGACAAGTAGTTTACCTGGGCAGCCCTGGCGCCCTCCGGGGGTGGAGGGAGCTCTGGGAGGCAGGAAAACCTCCGGTCAAATATGCACCGGTGAAGATGGGCATCCAGGGAACGGAAATCATCATAACTCCGGAGAACTGGCCAGGAGCGGCCCTGTGAAGGACAGGCAGGACAGAAGGGACAGACTCCATTACACTGAGCTGAGGATTATAGAGGTCAGGCCCTCAGGCTAGATGAGAGGCAGGGGCAAGCCTCACCTGACAGGTTACCTGGACCCCAAACACCAGTTCATTCTCTCCAGAAAGGCTGGGGCTTTCACGTTCTGGAGACAGCAGGAGCTGCAGGAGGAAGCACAGATCCAGCTAAGGGCTTCTCAGGCCTAGCATCTCTTGGCTAGGACTATCTAAGGGTGGATCTGTGTGTCCCTCTAAGGACAGGATCCGGAGAGATCACTGTCTGGGTACAGAGCCCTGGCACAAAGCAGATGCCTAACAGAAAACTGCTGTGGAGAAATAACTGGAATAAACTATGTGAGCAGCCCTCCCCATCTGCTCAAGCCTGACTCCTGCTAGTGACTGCTCGGACATGCAGGTGGCCAGGCTCAGGGATGGGCTTCAGAGCAAAGTAGCTGACAGATGTTCACCTTCCCACCTAAGCAGAAGCTCCCATACCTGAATGTGGCCAAAGTCAACATTCTCATAGTGGAAATGGGCACAGTCGGCGAGCCGAGGGAAGGGACCTCTAGGAGCTGAGAGCCTAGGAGACAGGCAGCATATCACCAGTAGCTCTCTCCTAGAATTCCCCTCCCTACTAAACTATGCCTCCTCGAACCCCCTCACCTCTTCCCAGGCTTCCCCTTCGCACCAGGTCCCCCAGCTGGGGGAATGGGCTGCACTGAGCCCTCTCCTGGGCCATCCAGACTGTCAGTACTTCGGGCCTGCAAAGTAGAGAGAAGAATCAGAGACCCCCAGAGATGGGAGCAGAAACAACGGGAGCATTGTTATCTGCCAGTCTGAGCCCAGAGCCTGGAGGCTCCACACACTGCCTTGTAGCATGGGGTAAGAGGTCAGTAGGAGGTGAGTGCTGGGCTGCAGACATCTTCATGTGTGGTCTGGATGGTGGACTGGAGGAGCAGGAACCAAGGGTGAACAGGCAACAGGAACACGAGCATGTTGTAGCCACTGCAGAGTATAGTCATCTGCTGCTGTCTGGACCTTCACAGTTCACATCTCAAGCTTCTGTTCCCAGCCTCTCCCCTCCCACCAGCTTCTCCACAAGTTTTCAGGAAGCTCAAATGTGACTGTCTCTCCATAGACCCTGCTTCAAAGACTCTCTCATGCTTCAAGATGAAGTCCAAATTCTCTGATCTGATAGTCAAGCTTTCCTGAACTGGCTTCTGTTTGCCTCTTCAGTCCCATCTCTCTCTCTCTCTCTCTCTCTCTCTCTCTCCCCATTCTCAGAGCTCTCAAACTTTTCGGAGTCCAGCACAAGTGTCACTTTTTCATGTTTCTTCTACATGTCAGCTGGGTAACCCTGGTCCCCTCCCTGTCACTAGGTTTTCTCCTCCTCTTCTTCCTTCTCCTCCTCCTTTTCTTCCTTTTCCTGCTCCTCTGGTTTCACCTCATATGTGTGCTCCTCCAAGAAAAGCCCTCTCTGTCCCTTTAGGCTATGGCAATCATCAGTGTCCATGCCCAGAACTCCCCTATCCCAGGCTCTGCAGCCGTGCCTGAACTAACCCATCACAGCCTCACAAATTCCGAGATGCCACAGGTGAGGAACTTGTCTTTCCCCTTGGACTCTGACCTCCCCGGAAGCAGGGCCCCAGACTGAGGACCCCCAGCATGCCCAATACAAAATCTGGGTATAGCCTTGGTGCTCTTTATAAGATTCCTCTCTGGGTCTCCAATACCCAGTGCCAGCCCAGTTGCACAGCAGAGGTTGGGTAAAATCTGACGAATAAATTAACCAGCTGCCAGACCAGGATTCAGGGCTTTGCTAGACTGGACTTCTCCCTCCTCCATGTCCCTGTAACCCCAAGTTCATCCCTGGGTCTCACCCTCAGAGTCTGTCCCCTGCCAGCCCATGAAGCTCCCCAAGGCAGGATGGGATCTGACTGTCTCTGTGCCTGGAGCATGGGGCCTGCACAGAGGAGGTCTCAGTGAATGTCCGTGGAGTGAGGGAATGAATGGATGAATGAGCGGGAGCAGTATGGTGGGAGGCGTGAAGGAGGGGAGATGAAGAAAAGGAGATGGAGAAGACCCGAGGATCAAGCGGAGGCGTGATGCTGGCTTCTTGGGTGGAGTAAGCTGGGGAACCGAGCGAGAGGTTGAGATAAAGGTTCAGATGGATGGCGGTGGATTGAGAGGGGCTGGCTTTGGATGAAAACGAGGGAGGAGGAGAAGAAAAGGGTCAGGCTGGGGATGGAGCGGAGTGGGGGTGGGGCTCAGGAATGAGAAAGGGGCTGTTGGGAGGAGGGGGAGGTGGCCCGGGAGGATGGCCTAGGGATGAGGATGCTGAGGAGGGCGCTGGGATGTGGGCTGGTGTCCAGGGAGCCTCAGCAGTCGCCTGCGGGGGACCCCTCAGGGGGCGCGGGTCCCCCCTGGACCAGCCCCTTCTTCTCAAACCCGGGTTCTCCGCCACTGTCACCCCCTTTGCAGGGCGTGGAAGGGGAATGCATGCGCGCCGAGGAGGCGGGGTCGAGGCCAGGGTAGCGACCCGGGACCCGGCCGAGGGGGACGAAAGGGGACCGTGAGAAGGGTGAGGGGCGGCGCGCGGGCCCCGGGGCTCGGGCGGGGCCGGGGGCGGGGCGCGGAGGGCGGGGCCGCGCGCGGACAGACTGACACGCGGACGGACAGACTGACGGCCGCGTGGTCCCCTCACCACCATGGTCGCAGTAGCCTCCTCAGACCCCGGCGGCGTTCGAGCATGGGTTCGCAGTCCTCGCCGCCGCCGCCGCCGCCGCCATGGTGACACAAAGGGGAGGGCGTGAGACGCGCGCGGGCGGCCGCAGGCCCCGCCCCTAACGGCTGCCGGGGGCTCTGGCGCGCGCCCCACGGGGGCGGGTGGAATGGGCACGCGGCGGCGCATCTCATTGGCTCCGCCCTTGGCCTGAGGGGACGCTCCTCCCAGCAAGTGGCCGCTCATTGGCTAGGCGCGAGGCCCCACCCCTGGCCCTGTGCGTCTCGCGCTCTAGTCCCGCCCCTCCAAGTTTGACAGCGCCACGCCCACGGCTGCTCGGCAGTGCTAGTCTGTGCCTCCGGATGCAGAGCTCCGGCTTCTTTATGCTCCTCCGCCGCCTCTTCCGACCCTGAGCCGTCGTTCCCTCCCGTAATCCATCTCCGAGGCTGCTCTTCGGACGTGCTTCACTGGGAGCTTTGCTCGGTCCTCAAGCACCTTCTCTAAAGTCCCCACCCTGGCAGTCCTGATCCCGACCCCGCCCACAGAACCAGGAGAGCGCACCGCCCTTTTTTTTTAAATCCCCTTGCGCAACCAACTTGGATTGCTTGGATTGCGATCCTAGGCTCTGTGAGACTTGGCCTCGCTGCACATTTCCCTTATCTCCCTGCCTACTCTTATTATAGGCTGGCCTTAAGCTTTGATTCCTTTTTTTGCCTGGGAAAAGGTATAGTTCGAAACGGTAGAACATTCAATGCCTCCCAGAAAGCCTGTTAGAATCCTTTCTACAAAAGGTTGAGCAGTACCCAGAAAGCACTGTAGCCACACCCTTTCCGGAGGTTGCTTTCCCAGATCAGGTCCTCCACAGAGCCCTCGCCTCAAAGGCATGCTCCTGGCTCATTCATTCAAAAACTGATCGTTTAATTCTCGAATACATCAGCAATCAGATAAAAATAGACCCTTACGCACATCGAAGCTCAAATCTTAATATTAACTGGGCGCAGTGGCTCAGTATTCCCAGCACTGTAAAGTGGATGCAGGATGCTCATGAGTTTGAGACCAGGGCTACATAGGAAGACAGTCTCAAAATATAGAGGTGGGAAGGTTAGAGGGTTGGGGAGGGGCCTGGGCATAGTGGCGCAGGCTTGTAATCCCAGCATTTGGAAGGCTGAGGCAGGAGGATCACCTGAGGCACTGTGAGGCCAACTTGGCTGCAAGGTGAAACCCTGTCTCAAAAACACCAAGTAAAATAAGAAGCTAACAGGAGAAGAAAATGAACAAAATCAATATAAATACCCAGTGTTCAAGGCTATGGAGAAGTTAATCAGGGGTTGGACATAGGGAATGCTGGGAAGAATCAGTTATATATATTTCTTTTCTGCAGTGCTGGGGGATGGAATCCGGAGCCTCTCATGATTGGCAAGTACCCGCTGTTAAGCTACCTTCTAGCCCCGTTACTTATTTTGCCTTACTGAATTTGCTAGCCTCACTCCTGTTACAGTGATTTCTCACTCGATGTTCCCGCTGACTGGAAGATTCCCCCATGAAACCCTGTGGCAGTTTTAAAGCAGGACTGCCAGTTACTTGACACTCCACTCTGCCTGCCTCCTGTGAGTCTGTGCAGATCTGACAGCTACAACAACATTCGGGAGAAGTGGACTGACACTGCGGGATTGCCAAGGCTATGTGATAAATGTTTCCTTTCTGTTCCCCAGAACTCATAGAACAGAACGACAACACTGAGAAGAGACTATTCTGAGGCAGCTGTGCTTTGAGGAAGTTCAAACCCACAGAGAGACAGCACTTAGATATAACAGTCCTGGTTGAGCCCCGTTTTTGAGTTTTCTCAGCTCTGATGCCAGATTAGAAGTGAAGAAGTTCGAGAGGATTCTGCACAGCTGTCAGGTCACATTTGAATCTTCCCAGATGTCATGGAGCAGAGGTAAACTGTTCCCAACCGTGTCCTGTTCAAATTTCTGACTCACAGAATCTGAAAGAACGACAAAATGATTATTTGATGCCACTACACTTTGGGGGTGGCTTGTTACCCAGCCATAATAATTAGGATGGCCTCTTGCCAAGAAGATATTTCCTACCTGTGTCGACCTCAGTGTCACTTCTTCAGGCAGCCTCCTAGCCCTCCCTCTCAATTAGATTAGGTTATTATAAACATCTTTTACAGTTCCTTATGTTTCAGCAGCTACTTCCTGGTTGGTTTCAATCAAATGTGTGCTTTGTTCAAAAAGGCTGAAAACAAATATTCACCCTGTCTTTGACATGCAGAACCAGCTGCTAGAAACCCATTCCATTCTTCCTCATAAATACAGGTATCAAAACAACCCGGAACATATATTCTCCATCATTTTATTATGGAAAATTTCTAAGATACACCAAGTGGACACCCACATATCTACTAGTTAGATCTGACCATTAACATTTCACTACATTCACTTTATCTCAAATCTAATCACTTTATTCATCCATCAATCTGACTCATCTTTGGATGTATTTCAAAATCAATGAGGACAGGTATGGAGGTGCATGAGTGTAATCCCAGCACTTGGTAAAAGGCAGAAGAATCAGGAGTTTAAGACCAGCCTCAGCTACATAGTACATTGGAGGCTAGCCTAGGCTACATAAGACCCTCTCTCAGAAACAAACAAACTGGGGCTGGAGAGACGGCTTAGCAGCTAAGAGTGCTTGCTGCTAACCCAAGTTAGGTTCTCAGCACCCACACCGGGTGGCTCACAACAGCCAGTAGCTCCAGATCCAGGGGATCTCATGCCCTCATCTGGCTTCCATGGGCCCCTGCATACATGAGACAAATACAGATACACACACAGAGCACAAAAATAAGAATAAAATACTAAAAACAAAACAAAAACAAACAAACAAAAAAACAGCCTGGCGTGGTAGTGCATGCCTGTAGTCCCAGGACTTGGGAGGCAGAGACAGGCAGATCTCTGTGAGTTCAAGGCCACCCTGGTCTACATAGTGAGCTCCAGGCCAGCTGGAGCTACAGGGAAACCCTGTTTCAAAAAGACAAAAACAAAAAAACCCCACTATGTCCATACCACCCTGAATGCCTGAATGTACCTGATTTCATTTTAAAAAACGAGATTTGGTATCTAAATATTTCAGCATGCATCTCTTTAGCTAGAGTTCAGTATAATTTTCTTTTGAGGTAAACTACATACAATGAATACAAATTTCACTGAGTTCAATAAGTGCATCCTCGTGTGACCCACCCTCAGCATAACATAATTGATTTTTGTTTCTTTTTACATAATGGTTTACTACGTAGCCCAGGCTAGCCTCAAAGTAAAGATCCTCCTGCCTCAGCTTCCTGCATGCTGGGATTACAGGTGTGTGACACCAAGCCCAGCAATCAGATTTTATTACAGTCTCTAAAGTTGCTCTAACACAGAGAAGGAAGAAAAGGGAACCAGGCGGACAGTACCTGCCGCATGCTTTCAGTCATAGTCCTTTTGCTGAGGGAGCTCAGATGCAGAGAACAGGAAGACTCTACCTCCAGATGAAACATATCAAAGAGGGCTTGGAGAGATGGCTCAGCCGTTAGGAGCACTGGCTGCTCTTGTAGACCAGGGTTTGAATCCCAGCACCCACATGGTGGCTAACAACCATCCATAACTCTGGTTTCAGGGGATCCAATGCCCTCTTCTGACCTCCTTGAGCATTGCATAAACGTGGTACACTTATATGCATGCAGGCATAACACTCATATACATAAAATAAAACTAAATTTTAAAAAATGTATCCAAGAGTGTACAGACATATTTACCCATTTATTTGAGACAGGGTATCCTAGTTTGTTTCTTCATTGCTGTGACAAAATACTCTGACCACTACCAACTTGGGGAAAGGGTTTATTCAGCTTATATCTCCCAGGTCACAGTTCATGAGGGAGCCTAAGGTAGGAACTCAGGACAGGAACCTGGAAGCAGGAGCTACATCACAGGCCATGGAGGAACGCTGCCTATGGGCTTGCTCCCCTGGCCCCTGCTCAGACTGCTTTCTTATGCAACACAGGCCCATGGCCCAGGGGTGGCACCACCCACAGTGGGCTGGGCCCCCTCCCCCACATCACTCATCAAGAACATGCCCTCAGACATGGCCACAGGCCAGTCCAAAAGAGGTAATTCCCCAATTGAGGCTCCCTCAGCCCAGGTGTGTCAAGTTGACACTAAAGCTATCCAGCACACAGGGACTCACTATATAGCCCTGGCTGGCCTGGAACTCTCTGTGTAGACCAGGTTGGCCTTGAACTCATGGAGTTCCACTTGCCTCTGCCTCTCAAGTGCTGGAATTAAAGGCCCAGACATGTTTATAAAAACAAGTTTTCAACAGTACAGACAGGAGGTAGCCTAGACTGTGGTGAGGGCAGTGGAAGGGGAAGAGATGAATTCTCGATAGATTCTAAAGGTAAAAAAGAATCTGCTGGCTGCCTGGGGTGAAAGGCAGGGGAGTAAGGATGACATAAGGCTTTTGTCTTGAGCAGCAAGAACTCAGCTGTGCAAAAGGGGGTAGGAGCAAGATTAGGGAATTTGAGGAACTGTAAAAATCAAGAAAGCTTGGGGCTGGAGAGATGGCTCAGCAGTTAAGAGCACTGGTTGTTCTTGCAGAAGACCCGGGTTCAAATCCCAACACCCACATGGCAGCTAACAACTGTCTGTAACTCCAGTCCCAGCCTCTTCTGACCTCCGCGGGCATTGCAAGACACAGGTGCATTGACCTACATGCAGGCAATACACGCATACAATAAAAAAATTTAAAAAAAATCAAGGAAGCTCTTAGACCTGTGGGTAGAGATGGTGACCAGAAAGGCTGGGTGGAACTAGCTACTGCCAGGACAGGAGTCCAACAGCCATGTTCCCAGTACCACATGGCAGTGCTTTGTAGTCCCCATCCAAGACATAAAGATCCAGGTATAAATTGGGTTACATATGACACAGGTGCACTTACATATATGCAGGCAATACACTCATACACCTAAAATAGAAATAATAAATAAAATTCTAAAAAATTGAATTACATGAGGCAAGCCCCCATCTTTCCTAGAAACCAACCCTCACCCCCAGATGAAACTAGAAAAGAAATTTCATTTCAGTAGTCAGGAAAGGGGAGAAGGTAGGCCAGGAAGGAACACAGTAACAGAGTGCTTGCCTAGCTTGGATTCACTCCCAGCACCATCAAACAAACACATCAAACAAGAAGGAAAGGGGAAAGGGAGTTTCCTTAAATTAGCACAATCATTGGCTTTCCATATAATTCATTTCTTTTTTAAACAAATGTTTTATTTATTTATTTATTTATTCATTATTTTTGGCCTTTTTGAGACAGGGTCTTCCTTTAGCCCCAGCTGGCCTGGATTCACTGTGGAGGCCAGGCTGACCTCAAATTCCCAGAGATCCACATGCCTCTGCCTCCCAAGTGCTTGGATCAAAGGCGTGTGCCACCACTTATTTATTTTTAGGTTATGTGTATGAGTGTATTGCCTGCATATATGTGAGTGCACCCATGTCCTGCAGTGCCATGGAGGTCAGAAGAGGGCTTCGGAGTCCCCAGGAACTGGGGTTAAGCACAATGGGTGCTGGGAATCAAACCCGGGTCCTCTGTAAGAGCAGTCAGTGCTCTTAACTGCTGAGCCATTTCTCTAGCTCCCACAATTTATTTCTTGAGATAACACAGCATGCTGGAAAAGCAGTTCATTGGGAAAAAATATTTATTTTTGCTGTGTGTAGGAGACCACACCCCATGTGTGGAGGTCAGTGGACAACCCGGGATGTTGGTCCTTGATCTCTTGCCTTGTTTGAGACAAGATCTCTTGAAGTTTATCACTTTACTCACAGAGCCAGCTCCCAAGCCCAGAGAAAACTGAATTTATACAATTCAAAGTCTTCTGGCCTCAAAGGAGGCTCCTTCCCTCCTCAGCCGCCTTCTTGGGGACCTGGGAGGTGACCTGGATGTTGGGGACAAAGATCCTGGGTCTTCAGTGTGATCCAAGAGGAGGGATAACTTTGTGTCCACTTGCCTAGAAAAAATGTCAGAGAGGTAGAAACTGGGGTGTGTGCTCACGATAAGGATCTGAGGCCGTGGATGGGGTTGGGGGAAAAGGGGCTTAGAAGAGACAGACACCAAACAGGTTGTCAGAACATGCAGGGACCCAGTGCGGAGGGATGGTGGATCATGGTAATGGCGGGTGGTCACCTTTTCTGCTGCCGAAGCTTTGCCCTCTGGGCTCTTAGCACCCGCAGCACAGGGTCGTCCTGAAACTCGCTGCCGTCAGAGTCTGTGGAGGGAGGGATGTAAAAGATTGAGCTCTAAAAGGTGGACTCGGGGATTGGGGCCACCACCAAGATACCGGAGGGCCCAGGAATCCCCGCTCACCTTCCGCAGCCTGCAGAAGTTGGGTAGCCTGGGACAGCAAGTCCTCGGAGTGGACCTGGCCTGGTGCTGGTGGGGGCGTGGCCACGGCATCACCAGAACCCGTCTTGGACACAGGCATTTTGAACTCTGGTGAATGGACCTCCATTAATGTGGACGCCCCTTGGGCCTGAGCAGGGTGTGAATGCCCAGCTTCGGCTGAGGGAGTGGCTTTGTTTTTCCGAAGCACCAACCCGCGGGAGGACAGGGCTTTGGTTTTGCAGGACTCCGCCTTGGACCCGCCCTGAGACTGGGAAGCTGGGACTAGGACTTTGGCTGGAGGGGGTGTGGCCTTGAACCTCCAGGAAGCAGCCTCTGCAGGAGGCGGGCTCCCAGGGTGAGGGGGCGTGTCCTCCAGGCTGTCTGGGAACAGCCGGGCTGTCACTACCTGGCCCAGGGCACCCCTGAACTGCGAAGAGAGCCCTTCAAAAGCCTCGGGGTCTGGCCCAGAAGCCTTCCGGCGTGAGGAAGCGCTGGTCTTCCGAGGCTTGAGGCCCAGCTTCTTAGGCTGGGTAGAGCTGGTCTGCTCAGGGGTAGGTGGCCCCTGGGGGGTGTCAGGCAGTACAAGAGTGGAAGCCGGGGAAGCAGAAGTGGAGGCCCAGGGAGCTGGAGCAGAGGTTAGGGGCACTGGGATGGAGACTGGGGGGACAGGGGCGGGGACCCAGGGAGCTGGAGTGGAAGCTAGGGGTGTTGGGGTGGGGACCGGGGGAGCAGGGGTAGAGGCTGGGGCAGCTGGAGTGGAAGCTAGGGGTGCTGGGGTGGGGACCGGGGGAACAAAGGTGGAGGCTAGCAGTGGGGTAGGAATCATCCCGAGTGATAGCCAGGGATTGGCTTGTGGGGCCCAGAAGAACCCGTGGGAACTCGGGGCCCAGACGTGTGGAGAGGACCCTGGAAGAAGAGGAGGCCTCTCCACGTAGAAAGCCTCTGGGGGAGCAGGCTGGGCAACACTGCTCCATGGTGGGACACAGTTAGGCTGGGTTCCCAGGGAACCAAGATTCACTGCAGGGACAGAAGTCTGTAGACAAAGGGAGGGGGGGATGTAAAACAGGGAAGAGTGTGGTGGGTCCCCTGTCACCCTTGGGTGTCTCCTATCACCCTCACACTCTCTCCTCCAACTCTTTACCTGAGTGGTGAGGGCAGGGGTCCGAGGTAAAACCCAGGTTCCATCCCCCTCGCCTCCTCGGGCCTGTTCAAGCTTCCTCCGCTGCCGCCATTGGTATAAAATGTCATCCTCAGGCCTAAGGGGTGCCTGGGAGGAGGCTGGGCCAGAAGCAGGGATGGGGGTCTGGGCTGGCCCTGAGGCTGCTGTGAGGGGAGTAGAGAAGAGAGGGCTGAGGCAAGAGCTAGGGTGATCTGCACCTCAAGGTCAGCCTGAATGCCACCCTTCCACTGTGCCAAAGAGCTATTCAGACAGGATGTCCAACCCAACTACTTTCTGGAGTGGGAAGTGGGGTCGATGCAGAGTCAGAGGAAAGATGCATCTGGGCTTCTCAGTTTTACATGCTTAAGGCTCTTGTCCATCCTCACCTTAGCAAGCACTCCCTCCAGGAAGCCCTCCCTGACTTCCATCTACACCATCTCCTGCATGCCTTTCATGTCTCCCTGTGTTTTACAAGTGTTTGGGTGTGGTGGTGACAATTCTCTGCCCTACATCCACTGTGCCTTGAAGACCTTGAAATCCCCAATCTTGTTCATAGGGCCACTTGCATGGTAGGAGTCAATGCTGGTTCAAGAATCATTGAAGAGATTTACCACACAACCACCTATGAAGTCAGTTAGTAACTTCATCTCCATTTTCCAAATGAGAAAACTGAGACTCAGGAGGGAGAAATGAATAAAAAGTATGGAAAGAGTGAAGAGCAGACAGGGGAGTCCCCATACAGGATCACACTTGCTACCCAGTGCTTGCTTGCCCCATTCATGGGAGCTCTGGAGGAACCTGGATAGAAACTGTCTTATGTACCACTACAGTCCAGGAGGACACAGAGGAAGGGAACAATGCCAACAGCAGTCACAGTAACCCCAGTCCTTATCCCATCTCAAAAACTTCTCACTACGTAGCCTTAGCTGACCTGGAACTTGCTAGGTAGATCAGGCTAGCCTCGAACTCACAGAGATCCACCAGCTCTGCCTCCTGAGTGCTAGGATTAAAGGCATGCGCCACTACTTTGACTTGTGAAGTAGCCCATGCTGGCCTTGAACTCAATATGCAGCTGAGGCTGACCTGGGCTCCTGACCTTTCTGCCTTTACCTTCCAAGTGCTGGGATTACAGGCATGGGTCACCATTCCTGGCTTCATCTCTGCAGTCCTTGACCACTCAACAGTTCTTCCGTTGTAGCTAGGTTGCATGCTGTACACAGTGTAGACATGGGTCTAGGGCAATGCGCCAGACTCAAACACACTGAGATTTAGTCAAACCACTTGAAACTGCCAATATCCAACAATTTTTTTATCTATAAAAATAATTCTGCTAGGTGTGCTCAGACACACCTTTACTCCCAGCATTCAGAGGAAGAGGCAAGCACATCTCTGTGAGAATAAGGCTAGCCTGGTCTACATAGTTGAGTTTGAGGCTAGCTGGGGCTACTGAGAGGCCCTGTCTCAAAAAAACAACAAAGCCAGGCATGGTGGTACATGCCTTTAATCCCAGCACTCGGGAGGCAGAGGCAGGCGAGTTCCAGGACAGCTAGGGCTTCGGGGAGACCTTGTCTCAAAAAGACCAAAAAGAAAAGAAAACAAAAGAAAACAAAACAAAAAACCTAAAACCCAATTTTATGTGGCTCAATGTGATGTATATACAGCAAAAATCATGATAGGTATAGTGGCCCACCCCTGTAATCCTAGTGGTGGAGAGGCTAAGTCAGGAGGATTGCTGTGAGTTCCAGACCAGCCTGAACTACATATCCTGGCTCAAATAAACAAAATTCAAACCAAAAAAGTATGACTATCTCCCCTACATGGGATCAAGACCAATGATGAATAGCCTCGTAGGTCATTTTTTACTGTTAAATCAGCATGGTGCCAAACCTGCACTAACGTTTCTGACATTGGCACTTCCATTCAGAATTGTGGGGAGAATGGAAGGCCTGTCACACTCGTGACCACTACTGTTGACGGAACTGTGCTGTTTTCATGAACTAATTTCATTCTCACAATACCTGTGGGAAAGGAATCCAATTATTATTCCTGTTTCTCCGCTCAGAAAACAAGGCTCGGAGAGGCAAAAGTCACGTAGGTAGTAAGTAGACAAGATGGACTCTGAACCCAGGTACCATCACTCATCACCTCCCAGCACTTACCTGGTTCTCTGGGGCCAGAACCCTTGCTGGAGTCTGAGTTGAAGGTGACAGAGCAAGAAGAGAGGCCATTGGAGCTGATGGGGAAGGAGGGGCTGCTGGCATTATTGGGGCTGAGAGACGAGGAGGAGGAGAGGGAGGCCTTGCTGCAGGAAGAAGGCAGAAGTGAGGATGGCAGTGAACTGGGCCCAGCAGAGAGGGGGACACGGGGGTGAGTGAGCATCACCTGCGTTTGAGCAGCTTGGTCGCTCTGCTTTGAAGGCTCAACATCTCCAAGTCCAGCAAAGATGAGTTCCATGTGTTAAGGCTCTGCATAATGAGAGAGGTCAGAGGCTAGTGCCCACCCCAAAGCTGTGGGGAAAGGCACTCTATACAGAAGGCCTGGTGCACAGCCTATATTCCACCTATATTCAAGGCAGGCAGCTTACAGTCTGCTTCTCCTCCTCAGAGAAGAGAGGCTCACTTTCCCTCTTTGGTATATGAAGTTTCTGTTTTTGAATTCTCAATCCACCTGCCTTTGTCACTCCAGTACTGGAGTTGCAGACATGTACCACATCACCTAGCTCACTTTTCCTCTTTACATTCACACTGTCCCTATAAGTTATTGTTGAAAGATTTAAGGCTGGCAAGATGGTTCAGCAGGGAAAGTGGTTGTGCACAGGCCTGATGACCTGAGTTCAATTCCTGGAACTCACATAGAGGTGAAAGGAGAGAACTGATTCCTGAAAGTTGTCCTCTGACCTACACACACCACACATACACAGACACAGACACACACAGACACACAGACACACAGACACACACACACACACACACACACACTACATTTAAATTTTTTTAGAAAAAGAAACAAAGGTTGACCTATCTTCCTGACCAGATCTGCCCAATCAAAACATTCTATCAAATTGTTTCCTGACTGGCTCAAGGGTGAGTACATAAAAGACAGCAGTTCGGGGTTGGAGAGCTGGCTCAGTGGTTAAGAGTACTAGTTGCTCTTGCAAGACCTGGGTTCAGTTCCCAGCACCCATATGGCAGCTCACGCCCATTCTTACCTCCAGTTCCAGGAGATGACACCCTCTTCTGGCGTCTGCAGGTACCAGGCATGCATGTGGTACACTGGCATACATACAAGCAATACACGTAAAACAAAAATGTGTAACCCCTCTCAAAAAATTTAAGGTTTGAAAAAAAAAAAAGGATTTGGGCTAGGTATGGTGACTCACACCTCTAATCCCAGCACCAGCACTCTGGACCTGGAAGTCCTAAGGAGTTCAAGGCTACAGAGCAGCCTACACGATACTGTTTCAACAAAACAAAACAAAATGGGCTAGAGAGACTATTCAGTGGTTAAGAGCACTTCCTGCTCTTCTAGAGGCTCCAAGTTAGTTTCTCAGCACACTGGGTGGCTCACAACCACCTGTAACTCCAGCTCTCCAATACCCTCTTCTGGCTTCTGATGGCTCTACACACACGTGACATAAACTCACACACATACATATAGATAAAAATAAATCTTTTTTTTTTTTTGTCTTTTGAGACAGGGTCTCCCTGTAGACCCAGCTGGCCTGAAACTCACTATGTAGATCAGGCTGGCCTTGAACTCAGAGAGATCCACCTGCCTCTGCCTCCTGAGTGCTGGGATTAAAGGTGTGCGCCACCATGTCCAGCTAAATAAATATAAATCTTAAATCTTTAAAAAAACAAAGAAAAGCTCCTATTTATTGGTAGTATACTGGCACATGCCTGTGATCACTAGCATTTCAGAGGCAGAGCAGGAGAATTCTGAGTGCCAACCTGGGCTACACCTAGGCTTCACAGTGAGACCTGTCCATGTCCATCCTGGCTTCACTAAGCAAACTCAGAGAGAGAGAGAGAGAGAGAGAGAGAGAGAGAGAGAGAGAGGAGAACATGAGTGAGGAGGAAGGGAAGAAGGAAGGTAGTCGAATTTTCCACTGTAGTATCTGAGTTAGTACCATGGGAGTCTAGAGCCATTTGGCACCATCTTGGCTACTAGAAGGAGAAAGTATGCCGAGATTGAGTGAGCCCAATAAAAGGACAGAGAACCAGGAGTTGGGTTTCTCCCAACACTGTCCAAACATCTGGATCTGACCATGATGTTACAGTCTGAGTCTGCAGTGTGCCCCACAGGCTCCTGATATGAATGCTGAGGCAACAGCTTATGGCCCAGTTCTGAAGGCGGCAGAGCCTAGCTGGCAGACAGTCTCTAGGGGTGGGACTCCAGGTCATGCCCAGCCCTGGCTCAGCCTGTGTTCTCAGCTTCCTGGTCTTCCAGGATGTGAACAGCTCCACCACACACTCCTGCCATGCCGAACTGAAAGCCCTCTGAAACAGAGCAAATAAACCTGTGCTCCCTTGGTTCTGTCAGGTATTTTGGTCATAACAACATGAAAATGACTAATATACATGGGAACCTACTTTTAAAGTTCAAAACTGCATTTAGTTAACAAATCCTTTTTGGTTTGGTTGGTTGGGGTTTTGTTTTTTGTTTGTTTGGTTTTTTAGACAGTGTCTCACTAAGTAGACCAGGCTGACCTCAAACTCACAGAGATCTGCTGTCTCTGCCTCTGGAATGCTGGGATTAAAGTGTGCAGTACCACACTGGCCCCAAATCTTTTTTAAAAATTTTATCTTTTTTTTTTTTTTTAATGAGTATGAATGTTTTGCCTGCATGTAAGTGTACCCATGTCATGCAATGCCCATGGAGGCCAGAAGAGAGAGTCAGATCCCCTGGAACTGGAGCCACAGGTTATTGTTAGCCACCATGTAGGTGCTGGGAATTGTACCCAGATCCTCTACAAGACCAGTCAGTGTTCTCAATTGCTAAGCCATCTCTCCAGCCCCCTATTATTATCTTTTTTTAAAGATTTATTTTTATTTTATGTGTATCAGTGTTTTGACAGAAGGTATATAAGTATACCACATGCCTGCAGTGCCTGAGGAGGCCAGAAGAGGACATAGGATCACCTGGAACTGGAGTTTTAGCTGCCATGTGGGTGCTGGGAACTGAACCCAAGTCTTTCGCAAGAGCAGCCAGTGCTCTTAACCACTGAGCCATCCCTCCAACCCTTACTATCTTTTGAGATAGACTATCATATAGCCCAGGGCAGCTTCAAACTCTTTATGTAGCCAAGGATAACCTTGCTTGATCTTCCTGCCTCCATCTTTTAAGTAGTGGGACTTATAGGCTGTGCTTCTGTGCCTAGTTTTATGTGGTGCTGGGGACCAAATCAGGGTTTCCTACATACTAGCCAAGAACTTTCCCAAATGAACTACATCCCCAGCTCTAACAAATCCTTTATTTGTGATTCCTTATGTTGGCAATTGTCTCTAATTCTACCCCAGGGTGGTGCTGTCAGTTCAGGCACTTGAGGGAGGGAGTATATGAGGTCACCTGAGTTATTTTCTGAAGAGGAGCTACAGCCTGGGATGAACTGGACACTTTGGTGGGAGCTTGGCCTGCCATTGTAAGTCTTCCTTCTGGTTCACTAGCTCCTGTTGAGAAACCTCTGTTGAGTTACAGGGACCAGGAAGAGTGTCTGCTGGGCACTGAGCAGATAGCGCTGAGGTACCTGCTGCAAGGTGAGCGCTCAAGTCTGGAGACTTGGGAGGTAACCACCAAAAGTCAGCTGCGGTTGGGCCTGCAGGCTGGCGCTCTTCTCGTCTTGTGGGCTGAGCTTGGCGGAACCTGTTTATATACCTGTGAGCATCCGGTAATGAGGAGAAGGAATAAAGAGAACATAATAACAGCAATTATCACAATACCCAACCCATGGCAGTAAACACACTGCTTTTGTGTTGAAGCAGAACAGCTGATAGAAGCTATGCTCAGTGGCCCAGATAAAAATATGCTTTCTGCTGGGCCTGGTGGTGCATGCCTGTAGTCCCAGCACTTGGGAGGCAGAGGCAGTCGGATCTCTGTGAGTTCAAGACCAGCCTGGTCTACATAGTGAGTTCCAGGACAGCTGGGGCTACAGGAAGACCCTGTCTCAAAAAAGACCAATATATATACATATATGCTTTCTACACATCTCCAATAGTTCAGTGGTTGAACTTGTCCTTCAGTATCTGTTTTCCTTTCTTATATCATGTAGTTTTTACATTTTCACATTTGTGTGTGTGTGTGTGTGTGTGTGTGTGTGTGTGTGTACATGTGCGCCACAGTGCACAGAGGACAATTTCCCAGAGTCAGTGCTCTCTTTCCATGACATGGGTTCCAGGGATTGAACAGGTTGTCAGGCTTAGTGGCAAGTGCCTTTATGAGCCATTTTATCAAAAAAAAAATTTATTTTTCAGTTTTATTGCTTTTGATTTTTTTTTTTTTGAGATAAGGTCTCATGTATCCCAGGCTGGCCTCCAACTATGTATGTGAGGATGGTTTTGAATTCCTGATGTTCCTACTTCCAGCTCCCAAGTGCTAAGATTACATACAGGTGTGTACTACCGTGCCCATTTCTTTTCCTGTTTTTTTTTTTTTTTTTTTTTTTTTTTTTGTCTTTTTGAGACAGGGTCTCCCTGTATCCACAGTTGGCCTAGAACTCACTATGTAGACCAAGCTGGTCTTGAACTCACAGAGATCCGCCTGCCTCTGCCTCCCAAGTGCTGGGATTAAAGGTATGTGCCACCATGCTTGGCTCTTTTCCTGTTTTTTTTAAACTAACGTTGGGTGTGGTCACATGCCTTTAATCTCAGCACTCCCGGGAGGCAAAGGCAGGCAGATCTCTGTGAGTTCAAGGCCAGCCTGGTCTACATAGTGAGTTCCAGGCCAGCTGGAGCTATAGGGAGACCCTGTCTCAAAAAGACAGAAAGAAATTATTTTCATTTTATGTGTATTGAGTGTTTTGCCTGCATGTATGTAAGTGCATCATGTACATGCAATGTCTGTGGAGGTCAGAAGAGGGCATCAGATTTCCTGGAACTGGAGCTTGGATGGTTGTTAGCTATCACATGTGGCTGCTGGGAACTGATCCTGGGCCTTCTGTAAGTCTGTAAGCCATTTCTCCAGTCTGATGACTAGCTTTTTTTTTTTTTTTTTTTTTTTTTTTTTTTTAGACAGGGTCTTCCTGTAGCCCCAGCTGTCCTGGATTCACTATGGAGACCCGGCTGGCCTTGAACTCACAGAGATCCACCTGCTTCTGCCTCTCGAATGCTGTGATTAAAGGCATGTGCCACCATGCCCGGCAATGACTATATTTTTAAAAATTATCATTTGGTATATGTGGGTACTTGTATGTGTATGGGGGGGCACACATGCTATAGCATGTGTATGGAAGGCAAAGGACAACCTTGTGGCTTCTATTCTCTCCTTCCACCTTTATGTGGGTTCTAGGGATCAAATTCAGGTTGCTAGGTTTGTGTTGCAAGTGTCTTTACCCACTGAGCCATCTTACCAGCCCCTAGTTTTTTTGTTTGTTTTTGTTTTTTAAGTACAGGATCTCATGTAGCCCAGGCAAGTCTTGAATTTACTATGTAGTTGAGGGTGACCTTAAACTTCTGATCCTCCTCCCTCTGTCTTCTGAGTTTGAAGTGGTGCTGGGATCGAACCAAAGGCACTGTGCATGCGAGGTAAGCACTTTAACCCCTGGCAAACAAAGAATGAGAGGATATGATTCTGGAAAACTGATTGAGAGCCATTTTGGCTCATGAAGGGAAGGACAACAGCCTAGGAATGGAACATCAATAAGACAGAGGAATCTATGTCCCCCTACCTCAGATAGGTTGCTTCTGCCTGGACCACTAAATGCAGGAGAAATAAATGTTATCTTCCTTATGCCATAACTAATTAGGACCCTTGGTTACAGCAGCTGAACCATTAACCTATAGACCTGAGTACTCACTTTGTGACAGGGATTGTTATACATCATTAAAATACACACAGTAACTGAGCGCTTAAAACAGCCCTAGGGGATAGGTGCGATGAATATCCCAAATATAAGAAAATTGAGGCCAAAATCATACAGAGAATAAGTGACAGAGGCAGGACTTGAACCCAGGCAGTATACGCCGGAGATCTTAATATACATGGAGTGCCTGATCCTAAGAGTACTGTATACTACCATAGCTCTGCTCTGATGATTATTATGGGATGCCTTCTTCCTCCCTCCTTTCACTTCAGGGATCCTGGTACTTACTTGGCCACCACAGAGTCCCCACTGTCAAGTGGGGTGAGTGGTGGAGAGGTATTCTGTCCCTCCATGGTGCCGGGTGAAGAAGGGGTCCCTGAACTGGATGGCCAGGACTCCTCAGACAGCTCAGGGGAATTGGATGTGGCCTTGGGACCTTGTGGGAGCCTGGGCCTCTGAGACCTGGATGGAGTCAGGGTTTATAATGGGAGAGAAGAAAAGAGGAAAAAGTTTGTTCTGAGGGGTGATTCCTGTAGGAAATGAAGGCATGTGTGAAGACTCGGTCCAGGAATGGAAACATATCCCACACTGTTACCATTAGGGGCTTGGGTTAACAACCTAGAGTGGAGCTGTGGTGGGGGACCCAAGTGTAGACAGCTTGAAAAGGGAAGTCACATGCCTTCCTTCTCTCTTGTGGTCACCTGCTATTAGTCTGAGGCTCAGCACTTCCTATGGAGAATCCTTACTTTGGGGATCCAGGTCTGGTTTCTTGATGGTCAGAAGTGTCATCCATTCTGGGAAACATCTCCAAAGAAGTTGTCTTGGGTAGACAGTCTACAAGAGAAGCAGGGCATGGTGAGAGGAGGGCAAAAGCAAGAATTTCCCATGGATTCCTGGAAAGATAGACTACAATTCCCATGAATCACCATTGCATATTCAAGACAATGATGATAGAGACATGATTCCCACAAGCTCTTAGAAGAGCTAGGAACTGGTAGTTGGTAGGTCTCAACTCTGGATTCAGTCTAGGAGGAGCCTTTTATTTTATTGTTCAATTTTGTTTTTTGAGACAGGGTCTCACTCAGTAGCCCTGGCTGGCCTTGAACTTGTGGTGATCCTCTTGCCTCAGCCTCCTGAGGCAAGTAGCTTTAGGAGAGTCCTATTAACATTACAGATTTGGCGCTCACCTTTAATCCCAACACTCAGGAGGCAGAGGCAGGCAGATCTCTGTGAGTTTGAGGCCAGCCTGGTCTCCATAGTGAATTCAGGCCAGCTGCGGCTACAGGGAGACCCTGTCTAAATAAATAAATAAAACTAAGTCAGCCAGGACTACATAGTGAGACCCTGTCTCAAATAACAACTATTATTATTACTATTATTATTATTATTATAGATTCAAGCCAAACATGTCATGCATGCCTGCAATCCTACCACTCATGAAGCTGAGGCAGGAGGATCAAAAGTTCCAGACCAAGGGGCTGGAAAGATGGCTCAGCAGTTAAGAGCACTGGCTGTTCTTGCAAAAGACCAGGGCTGGAATCCCAGCACCCACATGGCTGCAAACAACTGTCTGTAACTCCAGTTCCAGGGGATCCGATGCCTTCTTTTGTCCTCCTCCGGCATTGCCCGACATGGGTGCACTTGCATACATGCACACAATACACGAATACACATAGGATAAAAATAAAGCAAAAAAAAACCCCCCAAAAACTCCAAAACAAAAAAAAAAGTTCCAAGCCAGGCCCAGCATGGCCTTTAATCTCAGCACTGGGAGGCAGAGGCAGGATTGCTATGAGGTCTAAGCCTGCCTGGGATGCTCTAAAAAAAGGTTCCAACTGGGGCTAAAGAGATAACCCCCCACACCCCACACCCTTCCCACCCACCCCCCTTCTTGGGGCTGGAGAGATGGCTCAGCGGTTAAGAGCACTGACTGCTCTTACAGAGGACCCGGGTTCGATTCCCAGCACCCACATGGCGGCTGCGAACCGTCTTTAACTCCAGTTCCAGGGGAATCCGAAGCCCTCTTCTGACCTCAGTGGCATTGCACGACACGGGTGCACTCACATACATGCAGGCAATACACTCATACGCATAAAATAAAAACAATAAAGAAAATATTTTTTAAAAAGAGACCCCGTCTTTAGAAAAGGAAAAAAAAGTTCCAGAAGTCACAGAAAAAAAGTGGCTCCGTGACTATGCTGTGCAAGTGTTAAGACCTGGTTCAAATTTTCAGAATCCATTTAAAGCCGAGGGTGGTAGCTAGAGTCTGTAATCCTAGTACTCCTACTGAGAGAAGGGAGATGGAGACAGGAGAATCCACGTTCCAGTACCAGCTGGCCTGGAGTATGCAGGGGTGAACAGCAATAGATGTAGATGTCTCCAAAACAAACAAACAAAACGCCACCACTAAGACTATATTATTTCCCGTTAAGTCCTTAGGGGGTCCTAAGGGCAAGGTGTAAGTGGACTACAAGCCCCATGATTCACTGGGCTCCGTCAAAAAGGAAAAAAAAGTTCAGACAACATCCATGGGTGTCTAGAGGTAATTTCGAAACTATAAACTCAATTTCCAAGTTTTCCTTGGACACCTTTAGGAGGAAGAATCCCTTAGGACCATCAAGGGAGAACAAAAGATATTATATGCGACACCCTGGGTGGTGAAGTCAACGGCTGGCGCGCCAAAACCTGTGCAGCATCTTGGGAGTTGTAGTTTCAGTGCGCTTGGGCCTGAGACCCCAGACCCTAATAAACTTGTGTTGCCCTCACGGTTGGACCTCCCCGGGCCTCCTGTGCTCTCTGAAAAAGGGACCAGCCTCACCGTAGTCCTTCCGTCAGCTACCTCAATCCTCTCGCCTGCTCCGCCCCTTCGCGGGACAGCTCTGTGCGAATCTTGGTCGCCTAGCTATGCTCCGTCAAGCCCCGCCCCTTTCTGGGGGCGCAACTCGCGCAGGAGAGCGGCCTCCAAGGTGACCAATGATAGCTAGGAACAGAAAAGTAGCTGTAAAGTGGCCAACGGGAAATGGTCTCGTGATTGGCTGTAGCGCTGGCCAGCCTGAGAACGCGTGTTTGATTGGACAATCTTAGTGTGGGCGGTGATTGACAGAATTCTAGACCATTGGGAAGGACCAGAAGCTGAGTTTGTGCTTGGAAGTGAGCAAATAATCCTGGCTATTCCAGTAGTCCTGACTTCCAACTGCCGTTCTCTAGGGTTGCAGAAGTTAAGACCCGGCTCCAGCTAACTACTGTTCTACATGTTGCAGGGCAACCGGAGAAATCTGTCTTCTCTCTAACTGCCTCTATCTATCAGTTGGGTCGGCCAACCGGTCCTGATGGTCACCCAACCACTTCCCTCTTGCTGCAGAGCAGCTGGTTGCACTCCTTGCCAGGCCCGGGCTCCCGGCCCAGGTAGCGGGATCAAAACGAGCTATTTCTAGCCCCGGCACGCGGCCCCCGGGGGGCCAACCTGGAGTGTTTGTGCTCACGCCCCCTGGCCTCTGAGCACCCGAGGCTGAGTCAGAGGCACAGAATTAGGCCCGACCTACTCTGGGGTCTGGGCCCAAGGGCTGTCTAAAGATGGGGGTAGGGTCTGCCTGTTCTGTGTTCTCTTGACAGCCTGGCACGGGTGCAGCATTCTCCGGAATTCTGTTCCGAAGATCGGTGCGTCATCCTCAGAGCGGCCAGAGGGGCGGGAATGGATTAAGGGACCTGAGAACTCTTTGGACTTCTCGGGGGCTCTGGGTACCAGCTGCCACAATGGTTCACCCCACCTATAAGGGTCTGCCTCTTAAGCCTTAGTTTCCCCTTCTGGAAATGGAAAAGACATAATGACATTTCCCTGGTGTCCTTTTCCAGGCATTCAGCAGGCGCTTAATAACTGGCCAAGGCATTATTGAGGTTTCTAAATAAGGCTCTACTAATGGCCGAGCCTGGCCGGGGTCCCAGTGTCCCCGGGAGGCCTGCAGAGGGGCTGGCACAGGGCACAGTATAAAGCAGAGACAGCACACACCCGGGTACTGCGGGCCCAGGGCGGCGGCGGAGCAGGATGGAGATCCGGGTGCCTGTGCAGCCTTCTTGGCTGCGCCGCGCTTCGGCCCCGTTGCCGGGGTTTTCCGCGCCCGGACGCCTCTTTGACCAGCGTTTCGGCGAGGGGTTGCTGGAGGCCGAGCTGGCTTCGCTCTGCCCCGCTGCGCTTGCCCCCTACTACCTGCGCGCCCCCAGTGTGGCGCTGCCCACAGCCCAGGTGCCAGGACTGCGGGAGGGACAGCTCTATTAACAAGATAGGGTTCAGGGGTACGGAAATGTCTGCGTGAGCCTAGTGGACCGTGCGGCCACTCAAAGGACCATTGAGAGTCCCCTGAGTGTGGCATTCTCAGAGGCCTAGTTACTGAAGCAATGGGGTGCTCCCTGTCCCCCTCTGGGGGGGTCTCATAGCTCGAGGGGGGTAAGGTGGAAGGACTGGGTGGCGTTCTGGGGAGTCTTGATGACTCTGAAGGAGGCAGGTGACCTGGGAATCTGGGGGAAAGGACAGCAGGAAGTCATATATTGGGGCACAGTTTGAACTGTGGGTGATGCAGGGCCCTGGACCACGAAGGATCCTGTGATTTGATGACGGGGTTCCTGGGCTCTCTAAAGCAGGGACAAGGTAACCATAAATGCAGAGGGCACGGGAAGTCTCATGATCGGAGGGCTCTGGATGGCCAAAGTGATTGCTGGCAGGGTGGGAAATGAGGGCCCCTGGGGTGATGGCATGGTGACCTGGGAATCAGTGACACGAGGTGGGGGTGAGGGACAGGTACAGCCTTGGTCACCCTGTGAGTGTGGAGGTCCTGGAGAGGTGACTCCAGTGTCTTCAGGGGAAGGAGGATGCCAGATACGGTGGGTGAAGAGATTCTGGTGACGGATAGGGAAGGGGACAGTCTGCCCAGGCAGTGAAGCAGTCAGCTGCAGCTGGATCGACGGGAGGTGGGGTCTTGCTGGATCTCATCCCAACAGTCCCCACCCCTAACTCTTCGCAGGCTCCGACGGACCCCGGGCATTTCTCAGTGCTGCTGGATGTGAAGCACTTCTCGCCGGAGGAAATCGCTGTCAAGGTGGTTGGAGACCACGTGGAGGTGCATGCGCGTCACGAGGAGCGCCCAGTAAGTCAGAAGCTGGGCAGGGCCCGGTGGAGGGCGTGGCCTACTGGGGCGGGGCGAGATGGGGGCGGAGCCGGCCGGATCAGCCCCTGTCCCCTGCAGGATGAGCACGGATTCATTGCGCGTGAGTTCCACCGCCGCTACCGCCTGCCTCCTGGCGTGGACCCTGCTGCTGTGACCTCAGCGCTGTCCCCGGAGGGTGTCCTGTCCATCCAGGCGGCACCAGCATCGGCCCAGGCTCCACTTCCGTCACCACCCGCCGCCAAGTAGGGGTCCGGATATGCTTGAATCTGGAAGCCTCTTCAGGCTCTCTATTAAAAAAGCCATTCTGACTCCACCGCCAAGCCAGAAGCCAGCGCGTTCAAGATAGTTCCTCCTACCCAGATCCAGCTCTCCTCCCCCACCCCATACCTTTCCACCCTAACCAAACCGTGCATTGTACACCTTCCCTGACCCCTCCTTCAGCTTCCAGACCCCACCCATAACACTTGCTTAACTACAATATAGGCACTCCCCTCACCCCTCAGCCTCCCATCATCACCCACCCCACTTTGATGGTTTGTTTTGCACTCAAGCTGCCTAGTGCGGTTTTTCTAACTCCTAGGAGAACATCCCACATCCCATTTCCATCTCATCACCCCACTGACACCAGAGCATAGTGTAGACAACCCTGCCCCTTCAGGGCCTGTCAGGCACAATTCCCTCTGACTCAGACTGCATGGGCCTTCCAGCCCAGAACTCTGGGCCTGGTCCCAAGATCTGATTGGATCCTTTTCCTGTAACCTAATGCCCCAGCCCCCAGTCCATTTCTGACTTGAAATCCCAGCCAGTTATACTTGCATTCCCACAACCTTCCCCCTGTCACCTTATACCCTCCTTCCTACATTCAATCCCCAATAAATGTATTAGAGAAGCTGCCTTATGTCTGGGCCAGGAAGGACAGGCTGGAGTGGGTTGGGGGGGAGGTTTATTGGGGTAGGGGAGCTGGGAACATCACTGCCGATCATACATCTCCCTTAGGATTTTCATGCTTTCTGAGTAGCGAAGCTGGTTCCGATGAGATGCTTCTTTCCACCTGGGGAGGTAGAGGGAGTATTCAGCAATTACTACAGATGATGTGGGAGTGTTCGGGGGCTTGGGGGAGGATGGGACACATTCACCTCTGGCGGATGCGTTTCCAGCGCTGCATGTTGCGATAGATGAGTGTGGAGGGAGAAGGTTCAGGCTCGGAGGGCTGTGTGGATAGAGAGGCCCAAATGGGTGTCCATGGATCAGACAGGACCCACAGTGCCTGAAGCCCTAGGCCATCCTTATAGACCTACTTCATCATCAGGGGTGCCCTGGGTCTCAGGCTGTAGTGGGGATGGAATTCGGGATCTGCAGGGATCTCCAGGTGGCCCAGGGGCTGTGGGTGGAGGCAGCTTGTACACATCACGACTCTTGCTGTTAGTGACCTCTGAACCCTGGAGACACAAAGGTCCAAGAGAGAACAGAGGTTGAGTACATGTCATCCCTCCTGCCTTTCCCAGTGACACAGGCATGAGGGATCTGCCCAGAAACCTGTGCTTGGAGTCCTAGCCAGGAGACAGATACCTTTACCAGCTGGAGGGTGGGTCGGCCTCTTCTAGGGACCTTTGTCTCCCTTTGCCCAGCCCAGGGAATCCCATCTACATCTGTCATCCCAGGGGGTCAAACTGCCTGCCTTAGGGAATTGTCCAGGAGGTCATGTCTGCTCTTACCTTCACAATCAAAGGGTCAAGTCATATATCTGTTCTAGGATCCTTGTTTACTCTCTCAGTCAGATGAATTCCAAACCCCTATCCACCCTAAACCAGCCTACAGGGTCCCCATCTGCTCACCAAAGCCACACTTGCCAACCACATCTATCTGCACTGACTGCACTGAAGATCATATTCAGCCCTTTAGTTCTTGGGGACCCCTATTCCCTGCCCCCCTCTGCCCCATCCCAGGCTAGGAAGCCATGTCTGTCTGGCCTAGGGACCTCTGTCCATACCCTTAACGTAAGGGCACATAGCTGTTGTGTCCTACTTGATCCTAATATTCCTTTAGGGGGGGCTCATAAACAGTGCGTTTGCCACTAACCTGAGGGGGCAGTCCTTTGAACCTATCCACTCATTACCCTCCCAGATGGCTGGGCCCAGGCCCACCACCCATCCCACCTCCTCATCCTCAGGCAGTGGGGGCAATGGTGAGCTGGGTGAGCGGTCTCGCTCTCGCACAGAGGGACTGTTGCGCATCCAGGCTCGACAGATAGGGTACAGCGGTGTGTTCTCACTGAACTGGGCCAGGTCCACACTCCGGTCAAACAGCTTGATCACATATGTGTCTGTGTTAATGATGTGGGAGGTAAATGAGTCTTTCCTGTAATCCCTGGCTCCATGCCCACCCTGTCAGATCACTGCCTACTCACTGGATCGCTGAGTCCCCCCCTCGGCCAGCCCATCATCCATTTCTCTCCTCTTCTTCCTCCGCTGGTGGGGGAAGCGGGCAGATGGCCTGTGTGGGGAAGGGGAGTGTTAGGCCTGGGGTGTGCGACTGGGAACCAGTCAGCTGGTTAGGGCCCCAGCCACCTTACCTTTTGCCAGTAGCAGTGGTAGAGCAATCTCTGCAGGGAGAAACAGGGTGTCAGCAGGCTAAGCCTTGAACAAATGCTCAAAACCCTACAAAAGCTAGGCATGGTGGCAGACACCTTTACTCCAGCACTCAGGAGGCAGAGGCAGGTGGATCTCTATGTGATTGAGGTCAGCCTGGTCTACAAAGCGAGTTCCAGGCCAGCTGGGGCTACAGGGATACCCTGTCTCAAAAACAAACATCCCCCAACCCCCAAATCTGGGGTTATAGTTCAGTGGTAGAACATTGGCCTAGCATGTACAAAAGCCCTGGAGTTCAATCCCTAGCACTGAAAACAAACAAAACAGGGGTTCCTGGGATCCTTGTACTGCTTGGGCATTGTGACCCACCCATAGCATGGGGCTCTAGCTACTTATGCCACAGGTCTTTGTCCATGTAGAATGGTTAGGGCTGTGATGGAGCAAGCATAGGGCATAGTGGTCAGGACTTGGAAGAAGTTACCCAATTCAAGCTCCTAAGTCTAAATCCCTCAAACACCTTACTTGTTGTGGGCATCCGAGGGGGTTTTCCCAGCTTCTTCGTCCAGACGTTCCCTGAGAACAGAAAAAAAAGCTATAGCCTCCTAGTGATACTGAGTGGTATCCCCATTAAACACTTGTCACCCTATGTCAGCTTCTCAGCTCCCATTAAGATCCACCCTCACAATCAGAGAGGGTCCAACTCAATAGGTTCCAGGCCCTGTGAGCCCAGGCTGGACCAGATCCCAACCTGTCCATGTGACTCTTCTCTAGCAGACACTGTAGAACAGCATCCAGCTGGTTCCGAGCTTTGGCCATCTCCATCTCTGGGGGCAAAAGGTACCAAGTGAGGAGTCAGTTCTGGGTACACACCCCACACCCCCTGTAGGGGCCCAAGGCTATGGCCTGGCCCAGGTGCCCTGCAAGCAGCCTTAGGGATTCCCAGTGTTGCTCAGTGGAGAGAGAGAAGCTGAAAACAGAATTGGAGCAACTGAGCCTTGGGTAGGAGCCAAGGGGATGATTGTGCCACTGCTCTGTTCTGTTGGCTTCTCTTCCAAACACCAACTTGAGGATCCATTACCTGGATACTTCCTATGGACAACCCTTCGGGTCTTTCTACTGGCCTGCACTGGCCTATGTCTTAGTCGCACCTTTCTGCAGGCCCTTCACTGAATTCTGCCTCAGTCCACTGATCCAAGGGCCTGTCCACTTGGCCTCCTGAGTATCTAGCCAACTACCCCCTTGCCACCTTGCCCTTTCCTCCCTGTCCAGCACTTATACTCAATCTCCCCTTCTGATCCACTCTCTGCAAAGTGGCCAACAGAACCTTCCCAAAAGAAAACCAAGCCTAGCTGGGCACAATGGCATACACCTGTTATCCCAGCACTCTGGAGGCTGATGCAGGAGGAACAGGAGTACAAGGAGTTCAAGGTTAGCCTCAGCTGCTTGAAATCCTGTCTTAAATAACAAAACAAAGCCAAAACCAAACCACCAAGCCCACTTTTTTTTTTTTTTTTTTTTAACACAGGGTCTTACATGTAGCCTTGGCTGGTCTGGAACTCTCTTTGTATACCAGGCTGACCTAGAACTCAGAGATCCACCTTGCCTCTGCCTCCCGAGTGCTGGGATTAAAGGCCTGTGCCACCAGGTCCAAGCCTGATTTTGATCTTCCTGAGCACAGAACCCACCCTGGATTCCACAGCCCCACCCCCAGACAGTGGGGTCTTTACTAAGCTTGATATAACCAGGCCTACCCTTTCCTTACTTGTGTATTTGTGGTTAGGCCTTCTCTACTTTTCCACTCAGATGTGTTTTTTGTTGTTGTTGTTTTTGATTTTTGGCGTTTTGGGATGCACCATTACCAATTCATTCCTTGGTTCCAAAACCTCCCTAGGCTACCCTCAAAGCAAAAATCAAAAGTCCCCACTTGGGGGGCTCAGTGATTAAGAACACTGGCTATTCTTGCAGAAGACCCAGGTTTGAATCCCAGCACCCACATGGCAGCTAACAACTGTCTGTAACTCCAGTCCCAGGGGATCCGACAGCCTCTTCTGTCCTCCTCGGGCATTGCATAACACGGTTTTGCTCACCTACATGCAGGCAATACACACATACACATAAAAATAATAAATAAAAAAAATATTTTTTTAACACTTGGGCTCACAAGATCTGTCCTCTCCACCTGTCACCTCTCTGCCTCCATCCCCCCAACCCCCCCACCCCGCCTTGTATATTTTTCAGTTTAGAGCTCACAGGTGGGGTGTCTAGACGCTGCCCAAACAGGCCCTGAAATCCTGAGTTCAAATGATTGTCCTGTCTCAGCCTCCACAGCAACTGACTACAGAGGCTACACCCCTCCCTTCCCATCTGGTTTGACTGATTGATTGATTTGGTGCTGGGGTTGGAATCCTGGGCCTTGTGCATGCTAGGCAACGGATCTAGCACTGAGCTGCACCTGCAGCCTCTATCTTATTTTGTTTTACTTAGCACTTACTCCATCTAACACTTTACATCATCATTTTACTATTTATTACCTCTTCTTTCTAGATTTGGCATCCCCTCCTCACTGCCCTTACTATGCTCTTCTCCAAGTTCCATTTGGCTCTGACATCCAACCCTAAACTGACTTCCTCTGCCTCAGTTTCCCCATCCATCACACTTCCTACATCTTAGGGTGACTGGAACATAGCAATTATTGAGGATTGAGTCCCTATATGTCAGGGTCATACCACAACTGCTGACTCGTGATCACTACTGGAAATGGGGAAACTGAGGCAGAGTAAGAAAAGGGCTTTTCTTTCGGGGTTAGGGGTTCCAGACCCCCACAATTTATCACCACCACACTTCCCTAACCAACACCAATCTCAAAACTACTTCGTGCCGGGTGAGTTCCAGGCAAGCTATGGCTGCAGGGAGACCCTGTCTCAAACGAAACAAAACAACACACACACACACACACACACACACACACACACACACACGAACCCCAAACTACTTCGTGCACAGACCGGGAGCATCTGGAGGTGGCCAGCACACGCTCCATGCAGACTGTCAATGGGCCAGGGGGTGATTCGCCTAGTCCTTTTCGCGGCAACCCCGACTCTCTGGCCTCCCACACACGGATCAGCACAGTGTCCTGGACTCCCAGTCCTCACCTGATTTCTCCACTTTTACCTTCACCGGGAGCATGACTTGAGTCCGGGTCTGACTAGCTGCGTTAGAAAAACCCAGAGGCAGCGGGGTTCAAGTCGAGACTCGAGACAGGAGAGGAAAGGGCAAAGGTAAGCCTGGGTACCGGGGACTGCGGCCTAGGCGCTGTCCAGCCGTGACTGCAGTGGTCACCACCACCTCCCCGCCTTCCCTTCTGCAGGCGGGCCTCTGGGCAGCCGCCAGCTCCCACTGGTTAGTGCAGACGTCAATCTCGTCCATTGCTCTCCATCGTTGGCTCTCAGCCGTAAGCCCCACCTTCCTGTGGCCTTGTTTCCGGAAACAAACCTACCACCACCTCCTGGGAGATGTAGTTCGCATTTCTGAGGCTCTGCCCTAGTAACGCCGCCTGCGCCAGCCGCGCGGGACACGTTGGGAAACAAAGGGTCCAGCATCGCAAGGCTTCTTGGGACTTGTAGTGTTAGGTCTTAGTGACGCCAATTTACCTATTTACGAGATTTAACCAACTGGAGTCTGTCTGGTCCCTAACAGGACGACTAATCTGGACTTGGACTGGGTCCTCTCAAACCACCTGCTGTTGTCTTTTCAGGCAAAACCTCGTTCATTTAGCAAATAGTAGCGTGCTGGGCATTCATCCAGACGTCGGGGACACTGTGGTGAACAAAACAGAACTCTTTGCCCTCTTTCAGAGGACAGAAGACGGTCAACAAACAAATAAGCCAAAAAATTCTAAGTGAAATGTAATAGAAGCAAAAGTATACCTCGTGCCGGGCCTGGCAGCTCTCTCTTTTAATCTCAGCACTTGGGAAGCACATGCAGGCAGATAGATCTCTGTCAGCCTCGTTTACATAGTGAGTTCTAGGTCAGCCTGAGTGAGGGTACATATGAGACCCTGTCTCAAAAAACAAACCAAACACAAACACAAAAATATACCTTGAACTAGTCATCGGGATGAGAATTAAAATTTTTTTTTATCACTTTAGCATTATTTGCTTATTTATTTATTTATTTATTTTAGTGCTAGTGTCTAACTTTGGCCCAGACTAGCCTGAAACTCACTGAAACTTCAAGCTGGCTTTGAACTAACTCCCTGCAGTCCTGCCTCAGCCTCCTACTGTGGGATTACTATCATGAGACACCACATTCTGCTGGGGTTTTTTTACGTTTATTTATTGTGTGTATGTGTTTAAGGGTACACACCTGCACCTGCCACAGCACATATGTAGAAGTTAGAGGATGATTTGTGGAATTTAGTTCTCTCCTTCTACCATGTGGGTTCCAGGGATCAAATTCAGGTTAGACTTGGCAGCAAGTGCCTTTACCCATTAAGCCATTTCACCAGCTCCCCTGACGAACTTTTAAATACAAAGTCAAGCTTCTCTGAGAGATGAATCCTTCCTAGGCAGCATTGTGATATGTACTGTATATAAGAATACAAAACCCTAGGGCCTGGAGAGATGGGTCAGCGGTTAAGAACACTGGTTGTTCTTGCAGAAGACTTGGGTTTGAATCCCAGAACCTACATGGCAGCTAACAACTGTCCGTAACTTGAGTCCCAGGGAATCCGACAGCCTCTTCTGACCTCCGTGGGCACTGCACCACACAGGTGCACTTACCTACATGCAGGCAATACATGCATACACATAAAATAAAAATGTTAAAAATTAAATTAAAAAAAGAATACAAAGCCCTAGATAACAAAGTAACATCTTGTTTGGGAATCATACCCAGGGCTTTTCCACATGTTGAGCAAATGCTGTATACTGAACTACATCCCACTTAGGAAAGTCTTTTTTTTTTTTTTTGGTCTTTTTGAGACAGGGTCTCCCTGTAGCTCCAGCTGTCCTGGAACTCACTATGTAGATCAGGCTGGCCTTGAACTCACAGAGATCTGCCTGTCTCTGCCTCCTGAGTGCTGGGATTAAAGGCATGCACCACCACATCCGGCTTAGGAAAGTTTTATTTTTAAATCCTCAACTACCAGTACAGGACAGCAGCCCCTAGGAAGCATTCTTCTTCTTAAGACAGGGTTCCTTAGCAGAAAAATTCCTGTTTCAGAATGAAAAAAAAAATTCATAAAATGTGTGAAGTACTAAGACTAGCACAAAATTTCTTATGCTCACTAAATGTTTTGGAGGTTTTTGGGTTTTTTTTTGTTGTTGTTTTTTTTTCGTCTGAGACAAGGTCTCCGTGTAGCCCCAGCTGGCTTGGCACTAGACCAGGCAGGCTGACCTCAATCTCACAGGGATCCATCTGCCTCTGCCTTCTGAGCACTGGGACTAAAGGCATGTGCCACCACGTCCAGTAATGTTTTTGAAAGTTAACAATCATTTTATGCTTCCATCTCCAAAAAGATCCAAAGAAGTCAGTACTGAAAAGGTCTTTTATTGGGGCAGATGGGAAATGGGGGACAGTCTTCAGGGTTTGAGAGCAAGCTTAGAGTAGAGAAGCCCATCCTGGGAGAAAGAGTGTGTCAGTGTCACCAGCCTGTGAAGAAGTTGTCAGGGAGTGCCCAGGGGTATGGTGAAAGAGAGGTAGTCCCCAAGGGCACCCCAGCGGGGCCGGTAGATCTGGAAGATGGTGATCCAGGTGGTGAGGACAATCACCCAGAAGAGGAAGCCCACAGCTGAACGCCAGACATCTATAATGAAGAACAAGAGCAGGGAGAGTTGGCCTCCAAGGTCTCTCTCTAGAGTACCCTAGATCAGCCCTTTCTTTTCTACCACAGAGCCCCAGAATTCTGGAGCGTCCATCATCCTTCCCCACCATCGGTTGGCCTTCCTTCGTTGGTGCCCTAGACTCACAGCCTTTGATTTGGCTCTGTTCCGTGTAGGCAGGGGCAAGGAAGGCCTCTCTGAAGAACCAGAAAATGTTGACCAACCAGAGAAAAGGCAGGAACGCAAATCCACCTAGGGAGGGGAATTAAAAAAAAAAAACACAACTCACACTTGGTCAAATGGCAAAGAGAATCTTTTCCACTTCTCTGCTAGAAGGCCCATTTGGAAGATTCTCTCCCACACTCAAGTTTAATTGGAGAGCTCTGCTATCAGGGGATCAGGGTTCTGGTACTTAGCTACGGATCAAGTAATCTTACCCTCCCCCCACCAAGAAATCCAGTCTCCTCTTAGGACCCAGAAGTTGAGGCCGCGTCTCTCAGACTGACGAGTCTACGTTTTCAGCTGCTTTAGCCCTCAGACTCACGAATCCAGGCCCTAAGAAACCAGACCCAGAGGCCCTTCGGCCTCAAGAACGGTCTATCCCAGTTCCCTCACCCTAGGTGATCAGCCTCACCCAGGTAGTACTTCCGGCACAGGTTCAGCTTCTCCTCATTGGACACCCGCTCCAAGTTCATAGTTGCGCTAGACCCGGGTCTGCCGAGCAAGACCTACGTAGATGACAGATGCAGGACCACGAACAACACGCCCCTGTTACGACAAACTAGATAAATTGGGAGGGCTTGCTAAAAGAAGGGTACGTCCACTGTCGCTAACAAGGGGGCCGGGTTAACAAGGAAGTTCCATACATTAATTAGGGCGGGAAACGACCCTCCCAAATCACCAGTGGAGCTTATCCCGTCTGCTTCGGATATCTTGGCTATTTTGTATCTAGGGACGTTTGCGCGTGATGCCGCAAGTTTCTGTGGAGTTTGTAGTCTTTTTTTTTTTCTCTTTTTGGCGAGGTAAATGTTGTACGCATGCGCTACGAGGAAACGCCCGAACATGATCGTATGGGAAGACGCAGACCACTAATACGCATGCGCAGTAGTGCGCGAGCGCTGCCCCTAGAGGCAGCGTAGAACTACACTTCCCGACGCTCCTAAGCAACGGAAGTGACGTCAGGAGCAGGCGCGTTCGCGTGTTGGGGGGAAAATGGCAGAATACTTAGCTTCGATATTCGGGACTGAGAAGGACAAGTGAGAATGGCCTCTTGGGGAGCCGAGGCTCATGGGTCCCTGGGGGCTGGGCGGCTCAGGGCGGTTCCTGGGGTGTCCGGCCTTCCCGGCCCCCAGTTTACCTCTGTCTTTGCACCTCTTCCAGGGTTAACTGCTCTTTTTACTTTAAGATTGGGGCCTGCCGGCACGGAGACCGGTGCTCCCGACTTCACAACAAACCGACTTTCAGCCAGGTGAGAAACCCCCGCCCCCCCGTTAAAGCCTCCTCGAGGTTCCTCTTTTGCTGTCCATCATCCTTGGGTCCCGCCTCTTCCGGATTTCTAAGACCAATCCTACCCGCTGCTTTCTGACCTGGCTCGCTGGGTAGAGTCATGTCCGGGACTCGGCCACGCCTCCCGTGTGTACAGGCCACGCCCTTCGGCCGGGACACCTTCCCTGGTTCTCCCTCCCTCCCTCCCTCCCTCCCTGTCTCTCCCTCTCCCCCTCCGTCCCTCCCTCTCCCTCCCTCTCTCTCCCCCTCCCTTTTCCTTCCTCTCTCTCCCTCTACCCTCTCCCTTCTCCCTTCCCCTCTCTCCCCCTCTCCTCTCTCTCTGTCTCTCTGTTTCTCTGTCTCTCTGTCTGCCTCTGTCTCTCCTCTCTGGCCCCAGGTGGCCTGGAACTATATAGACCAGGCTGGCCTTGAACTCACAAAGATCCTCCTGCCTCTGCCTCCCAAATGCTGGGACTACAGGCATATGCCATCACTCCCGGCTTGCAAAGCATGTGGCACCCCAGCTGTGGATGTCCTAGCTCTTTTTTTTCCCCCTCTTTTTAATTTTTTTTGAGACAAGGTCTCCCTGTAGCTCCAGCTGACCTGGAACTCACGTCTAGACCAGGCTGGCCTCGAACTAAGAGAAATACCCCTGCGTCTGCCTCCCAAGGGCTGGGATTAAAGGTGTGCGCCGCAATGCCCAGCCTAGCCTGGTACTTTCTTAAGGACAAGCATTACTGATAAACTTATGCACCTCTGGTTCACACCTTACTCTCCAACCTCATAGCCACTCTGCATGCAGCTCAGGTCCCTTTTAAATTTTGTTCAGACCATAGTGCTGCTCAACCTGTACCGGAATCCACAGAATACGGCCCAAACCGCCGATGGATCACATTGTGAGTAAGAGACCAGGCGGTGCAGGGGCCAGGGTGGACAGCCTGCCAAGCAGGCTATGATACCCTGATTCCACCCTGCATCCCTCCTCCAGGTCACGTGAGCGACGTGGAGGTGCAGGAACACTATGATAACTTCTTTGAGGTGAGCGTTGCCGGGATAGCTGGGTATCCTGTGTGCTAGCCGCCTAGCTAAGTTCCTGCCCATCTTCGGTAGGAAGTGTTCACAGAACTGCAAGAGAAGTATGGCGAGATTGAAGAGATGAATGTGTGTGACAACCTCGGGGACCACCTCGTTGGCAATGTCTATGTTAAGGTGCTTGCTGCCTGCCCCCTGCTTAGAGCCCAGGAGTACAAGCCATTTCGATGCCTGATAGCCACCTTTGAGACCTCACAAACTGAGAGCCATCACTAAATCCAGTCCAGCTTCAGAGGTGACTAGTCCCCTGAAGATCTTGAATTCCACAGCCCACAGTCACCCACTTTCCCCTCAGTTCCGGCGAGAGGAGGATGCAGAGCGGGCTGTGGCTGAACTCAATAACCGCTGGTTCAACGGACAGGCTGTGCACGCTGAGCTGTCTCCTGTCACTGACTTCCGGGAGTCATGCTGCCGGCAGTATGAGATGGGGTATGTAGTGCTCCGGTGCAATGGGCACTTGGAGTCCCAGATGCTTGAGTGTTTAGTAAGGGGTTGTTAGTGACAATGGCCTCCTCCGTCTGTCCTCAGGGAGTGCACGAGAGGTGGCTTCTGTAACTTTATGCACCTGCGACCAATATCCAGGAATCTCCGTCGGCAGCTCTATGGACGGGGACCCAGACACAGGTATCTCAGGCCCAGCCTGCCAAGATTTCTTAGACCCTAAAGCCCCTATATCTGGAGAAGAGCCTGATCCTGATTCCTAGTCATTCCATCCCAAGACCCTTGTGCCCTAAGAATAGTCCCAGTCTCTGTCTGGAGATGAGCATGTTAGTCTCAGTGCTCAAACCAACGTGAACCCCAAACCCAAGTGAATCCCCATCCTGGAGTACCTATCTTGAGATGACTTCCTGGAGCCCAGTTTCATTAACACCCTTCATACTGCTGAAAGGCAGGCCTGGAAAATCTCGACTCCACTCCTAACTGTTGTTACCCATCTCTGTTCACTCCTTCTCCACTGCCCAGGTCACCCCCAAGGTCCCATACAGGCCACCGTCCCCGAGAAAGGAACCGACGGCGTTCCCCAGACCACCGGCATGGCCGCTTTTGAGATGGGTGCTCTTGTTCTTCACCCACGGGTGTAGACATACTGGCCAAGATCCTTCTCAAAGCCCCCTTCCTCCAGCTCTGTCATGCCCAGGCTTCACAGCTCTGTAATGTAATCTGTTCAACACAGAAGCCTCCTCTACCACCCTTCCCCTAATAAAGCTTAAGTTTGTCTAACCAGGGCCTGTGGTTTCCTTCCACCCCCACATCTAAGAAAAAGAACAGTTCCTTTGCGCTTCAACCACAGGCTCCACAGAGCCACTTGGAACCAGCTGCGAAGGAGGCTTGGGGTCCAGGTCTGTACTGGTAGGTTGGGACTGCCTTTGCCTGAAATTTCAGTGTGTCTATTCAAGCCTCCTTCTAAGGGGAGGTTCCTGTTTGTGGCAGGTTGGCGAATGCCTTACAGAGAGATGGAGATTAAGAGGGGAAGGGAAAGGGGGTGGTTGGGTGCCGGTGAGAGCCCCCAGTGAGTTAGGGCCTAATACTTGAAGCCCACTACCACCCTGAGCTAGAAGTCACTAATACTTAACCTTAAATAGATTTAAATTGAGCTTACTATATGTCAGGTGCCTCGCTGCTTAAAATAGATCCTCCCTCTCCCTCTCCCTCCCCCCCTCCCCTCCCTCTCCCCCTCCCTACTCCTTATCTGTCTAGGTCTCAGCCTACTAGGCCTGGCTTGGCACTTTACTTTGCATAGTTCTGAGTCCTCTGCAACAGACAGATGCTGTTATTCCATTTTAGAGATGGAAAGGGGAGGGTGGGTATGGGAGGATATGAGATATAAATCTGGCCTCCTAGATCAAGTTTTCCTTAAGCATCATGAGGCCTTGTGGGTCAGGAGTTGGGCAGGAAGTAGACCAGCTCCAAAGAGGCCTTGGAATTCTGCACTCCCACATCCACTACTTCCCTCTGCCTCGGCTCTCTTGGAAAGTGTTGGAGTCGTGTTGAAGTCCTGTGGTCACAGCCTTCAGGCTGCAGGCTCCACCCAGATGAGGCCCAGATGCCCCCTCCTGAAGGCGGCAGCAGTGGCACTGTTTCTGACCCAGGCTGCATCACTCAAAGTCTCTCAGTACTGCGGCCGCGTGGAGTACTGGAACCCTGACAACAGGTGCTGTGGCAGCTGCCTGCAGCGCTTCGGGCCTCCTCCCTGCCCCGGTGAGCAGCAGGGACTGGGTGTATGTGTAAATCTGGGCAAGAGAAGGGGCACAGAAAGTCATGGAAGGCTTGCTTTAGGGAGTTGGGGTGCTGGGCTCAGCCGGGGTGGAAAGGGATTGGTAGGATAGGGACACAAAAGAGGACTTGGAACTTGTAGTGGCTGGAGGAGTGGGTGGTTTTAGATAGATTTTTACAGTGTGGGTGGTGCTTGGTGCAGAGTGGGTGGGGGAAGGGGTGGGGCTTCATGCTGATTTTGTGTGTGTGTGTGTGTGTGTGTGTGTGTGCGTGCGTGTGTGTGCGTGTGCATGTGCGTGTGCGCACCCACAGAGTATGGTCAAGTGGGACTAGAGAAAGGGTTTGGCTGGTTTATGCAGCATCTCTGGAGCCCATTTCTCCCAGTAGACTACGAGTTTCTGGAAAACTGCGGGCTCAATGACTTCGGCGACACTGTAGCACACCCATTCAAAAAGTGTTCTCCTGGCTATTGCAACCCCAATGGCACAGAGTTATGTAGCCAGTGTGGCAGTGGAGCCACAGCACCCCCTCGCACAGAGATCCACGTTAGAACCCCAAAACACTGTAGAAAGGTGCTAGACTCCAGGGGCCTGGGCCAGGGCTTGCCAGCTGTGGCTGGGAGATACTGGGGGCTCAGTGAGCAAGGCCTGGGTCCATGGGTAGCCTTGTTGAAGAGACTGGGGAGCCACAGCAGAATCCCAAGGAGTGCCTTAATGGGGTGGGTGAGGGGGGAAGAGAGGGTAGTTCCGTTTAAAGGATGGGAAGCCTGGACTGATGGGCCAGGAGAGAGGGACTGGCCTCAAGTTTGACTCCCAAACCTCTGTTCCCAGAAGCCAGTCCCTCCCAAGGATGTCTATCCCCTGGCAACTGAAGCTGGAGTCTCTAGCTCACCAGGGAGTTCCAGTGTCTGGAAGACAACCAAGAATGAGGTCTCCATGCCAAGCTTTGTCCTGCCCTTGGTGCTGACCCTGTTCTTGGTGCTGTTCCTGATCTTGGCAGTGGTTTTATCCTCTTTGTTGAAGAGAAAAGCCCATTCCCATCCCCATCCTGGCTTGGCTTTTGGAGACCCCAAATGCTTCCACACACACACCTTTCCCAGACACCCTGGAGGTATTGGGCAACACAGGCAAGGCACCTCTGCTGCGACTCTCAAGCAGAGGTTAGTAGGGGACTGCTGTGCCCAGGGAGGAAGGTGATCTGGAAGGCTGTCCTCATCGCTCTCACTCCTCTCTGGTCTTCCAGAACTCCATGGCCTGGCCTCACAGCCCGTCTCATCTCTTGGATGAACTGGAGGTTCTAGAGGAGCTGATTATGCTGCTGGATCCAGAGCCAGGGCCTAGTGGGAGCATGGCCTATGGTACCACCCGACACCTGGCTGCAAGATACGGGCTGCCTGCCACCTGGTCCACCTTTGCCTACTCACTGCGGCCCAGTCGCTCACCCTTGCGGGCCCTAATTGAAATGGTGGTGGCAAGGGAGCCATCTGCCACTCTAGGCCAGCTTGGCACACACCTGGTCCAATTAGGGCGAGCAGATGCCCTACAGTTGTTAGCCAAGCTTGGCTGAGCCAGGGTTTGCTGGGACTTACTAATAAAGCTTCCTTTGAAGCAAATGCCTGCAACCTATGGTCGTTAAAGGGGTCTTCGTGAAATACAATCCCAGTTGGGCCAAGAACCAACAGCCATCCCTTCCCCTTCCCTATGCACAAGACCATGTATGGGAGATCTGGCCCTAATGTCTAGGAGTCACCTTGCCACCCTTGGGGTGATTCATCTGCCTGCACCCAGCTGTGCAGGAAGGTATAAACTGTAGAGCACTTGCTCTGAAGCCTCCACAAACCCCATCCCTGAGACAGAATCACATGTAACCCAGGCTGGCCTTGAATACCCTGTGTAGCTGAATGTGACTTTGTGCTCCTGATCCTCCTGCCTCCACCTCCCAAGTGCTTGGATCTCAAGTGCACATGCCCTTGCTGGTTTATGTGGATCAAACCCAGGGGCTCCTGCATGCTAGGCAAGCACTCTACTAACTGAGCTATATCTCCAGCCCCTCCCCACTTTAACAATTTACTTCTATTTTGGACTGGTGGCCTCACCAACCACCATGGCTTTCTTGGTAAGGGTGGATGTAGGGCATGGAAAAGTGGGAGCTCCTACCTGGCCCCCCAGCACCAAACATGAGAAGACCTGGGCAGGCATGCTGTGGTACTTGGCATGCCTATGTGTGTGTGCATAAAAACTTAAATGGGGTTGGTGTGGTAGCACATGCTTTAATCCCAGCACTGCTGAAGCAGAAGCCAATGGATCTTTGTTTCAAAAAACAAAAACAAAGCCGGGCATGGTGGTGCACGCCTTTAATCCCAGCACTCGGGAGGCAGAGGCAGGCAGATCTCTGTGAGTTTGAGGCCAGCCTGGTCCACATAGTGAGTTCCAGGACAGCTGGGGCTACAGGGAGACCCTGTCTCAAAAAGACCAAAATAAACCCAAAACAAATGGGAAGACCATCTCTCCAAACATTGACAGACTTTATTGTGGGGGGATTCCCACCTGGAACCCCACCCTCTTAAATAAAAAAGTGCATAGAAAAGAAGGGATTTAGAAACTTTTATACAATATCTACATCCTGGGTCCCCGGGACAGGAAGGGGGCAATTGCTGGATGGGCTGGAGGGGTGGAGGCAGGGCCCTTGCCCCACTACATGCCCACATCCACCATGAACAGGAGGGTGGGAGTGAGACACTTTGAGAGACTAGGGAGTCACAGGCCAGGGTGAGATGGTGGTGGGCATATGAGGAGTCTGGGGCAGCCACGGCCTCAGTTAAGGAAGCGACGGCAGCGCTTGGCGCCACAGTTGCAGGGCAGCTTGTTGCTGGCATCCTCGATGGGAAATTTGTAGTCATAGGTGAGCTCCTCACCTCGCAGGATGCGCCGAAGGGCAAAGATGACAATGTGTTTCTGGCCTTCCACGTGGATGACACGAGAGAAGCAGTTGGGCTCACATGAGTGGTTGATGAAGCGGGCAGCATTGCCGTGCATCGTGGCATCCACCACATCAAAGTCATCCATGCGGAACATGTAGCACCCAATACCCTACAGTGATGGAGTGGAAGAGTCAGGTTTCTGCTCCCGCTGGCAGACCTGATCCATGCACCTCATACCTTGTGGCGCTCACCTTTCCATCATAGAATTTCTCCCGCTTGTCAGTCAGCACAGAGCGAATGACAATGCCAGAGTATTCAATGACCATCTCACCAGCATCGATGTTACGTTTACAGAACAGGCCTCGCCCATGGATGGCTGATCTGCGGGGCAAAATAGACCAAGGGGAACTCAGAGGACAGGAGGACAGCGCAGGCTGCTCCCCACCCATGGCACCTGTCCATCCACCCAAGGGGCACCCCCCCAAACCCACTAACCTGTAGACACCCACAGCCTCTTTGGATGTCTTTTTGAGGTGGCGAAAGCGCATGGCCATGGGCAGCTCCAGACTGGTGGCACGTCTGGTAGGGGACAGCAATGTCACAAAGGCTGGTATCCAGGACTGGTCACCCTCTTTAGGACCCTTTCAGATCAGATCCAGCACCCCACTCTGCTCTCCATACCTGGTAGACCTAAGCTGTACCTCATCCTCTTCTTCATCACAGGTGGCCCCCTCAGGAAGCACCCGGTGCTGGGAGGCCAGGAAGTTGAACATGTCAAAGGTACACTTCCTACAGGTGGGAAGAAGGCAGGAGGCTCACAGCCCTTCCTTCAAAGAGATGCTGCCTACCTATTCTTTGACCTGGGCCCATTTTTGGCACAGCAAAATGGGAAATGGGTGGGGTCCACTTCTGATGTGAACTCTACGATAACTCTTTAAGAGTTTCCCAGTGCCTCAGTTTCAATCTTCCTAGACTTCATTCCCCCCAAGGGCTCCCCAACTTCTCACCGGAGATAGACCTCAGCACGGGCAGCCCCATGGGGATTCAGAGGCGGCTCTTCCTGGCCCTCTCCCTGCTGGTGGTAGCGGAACTTATAGTGTTGGCAGCGCTGGGCCCCAGGCAGCTGCTCTGCCAGGAAAATGACAGCATCGTGGTGGATGCCCAGGAGCCTGGCCCCACTCATTCCTGAGAGGAGATGAGAACACAGCAATCATGTGGAGGGCCCACCTCATCTTTGGAGATCACCTCAGCCCCCAGCATTTCTGAGGATACCCCTTACCACTAAAGGAGAGATGCCTGAGCCGTGCATGCCCTCGGGCCTCTTGCACTTTCTCAATCAGAGTTCTCCAGGCCCCTGGAATGAAGTGAGGCCAGAGCTGTCAGGATAGGGTCTAAACACTTTCCCTCCCTGCCACTGTTACATCCAACTCACCCTCCAAGCTCTCAGCCTCCACACTGAAGCCATCCTCACTGCTGATCTCAAAGCGTAAGTGTGGGCCAGCTCGTTTTGGAGCCTGGTTTTCTTTGTCCTCTGGGGATGGGGGCTCCTCCTCAGAGCTCGAGGCCTCACCTGGTTCCAAGGGGCAGGTAAAAGTAGGAAAGGATCATCTTCCTAGACTCAAAGGCCATTGCCCCCTAGTCCTAGCAGATACCATTCTTCTCCTTCCCCAGGCGCAAGCAGATATACGGGGGACAAATGGCCTCCTCCCACGCCAATTGCTTAGGGAGTCCTATGGCATGGATATGGATATTCTAAGGGGCCTGCAGCAACTTTTCTGCAGGACTTTTCATGCACAGAATAGCTGCACAGAGGCTGGCCTCTGCAGGCTACACCAAACTCAGCCTACCATGCATACCCATCTACTCATCATTATTCTGTTTTTCATACAGATTACAGGTACCGGGGAATTACAGTAAGTACAAATCATATGCAGTATTTTCTTTTTTTGCATTAGGGATTGAACCCGGGGCCTTGCATGTGCTAGGTAAATGTTCTACTACTGATTTACACTCCCAGCCCCAACACAGGGTAATTTTCTAGGTATTAAAATGTATAGTCTCAGATACATTTAAGTAAACTCTATAGTATAAGCTATTTAAGGAACTTCTTGGGGCTATTTACTTATTAGTCAATTTTATTCAAATAAGATTTCACCATGTTGCCCAGGTTAGCCCTGAACTCCTGCCTCAGCCTCCAAAGTGGCTGGGGATTTTAAGTCTGCGTCATCTTCAGGGTTCATAGATTTAAAAATATTTATTTATAGCTGGGCGTGGTGGCACACGCCTTTAATCCCAGCACTCAGAAGGCAGGCGGATCTCTGTGAGTTCAAGGCCAGCCTGGTCTACATAGTGAGTTCCAAGACAGCTGGGGCTACAGGGAGACCCTGTCTCAAAAAGACAAAAAAAAAAAAATATTATTTTTATTTTTATGTATATATGTCATGCAATGCCCTCGAAGATCAGAAGAGGCTGTCAGATCCCCTGGAACTGGAGTTACAGTTGTTAGCTGCCATGTGGGTGCTGGGAACCAAACCTGGGTCCTCTGCAAGAACAGCCAGTGCTCTTAACTGCTGAGCCATCTCTCCAGCCCAGGGTTCATAGATTTTAAAGATAAAGCAGACAGAATTCCTGATGTAGCAGATGTGCATGTGACAGAGTAATGGTCAAGGGCAACCCTGATGTTTGGGTCTTGAGGAAAGGTAAGAGTGCCATCAGCTGTCATGAGGATAAGGAAGGAACACTTTGGGGTGAAGTCAAGGACTGTTTGGGACAGACTGACTTTGAGCTCTCTAGAGATTCTCCCCTTGCAACTTGCCAGTGGAAATGGCAAGGAAACAGCAGAAAGCAGGAGCCCGAGTCCAGGGAATAGGCTGGGCTGTTGAGAGCAACATGGTGGCTATCAGAATGCAGACAGGACTATCCGCCTTGAAGGAAGAAGAGAGCAGGTGGGAGGATCCAGACAGAACACAAGGCCAAGGCCTTGGGACACACAAACTGAAGGTTGGGACAAAGAGGCATGACCCTCTAAAGGTTAAGAGGAGAATGTGGGGTCCTGGATGCCACAGAAGGAAGTGCTTTAAGGACTGTGGGGATTAGACAGCAAAATGCTGTTGTGGGCACCCACAGTGCATACCCTGAAGCTGACCACTGTATCCACGGCAAGGGTGGGACACAAAGTACAAGTGAAACATGAATTAGAAGGGCAGGACCCACATGGTCAGTCTCTTGCCACAGCATTTCTCTGGGTCAGCCTGCCCACACACCCTCCCTAGCCCTAGCAAGACTAAACCTGACCCTTGCTGCAGGACCTGGATCATCCCCAGGCTGCAGGGCCCACCACAAACAAACTCTTCCACCTCTTCTCTTCCTGGTCTCCCCTTCACTTGACCCCTGAACATACAGGGTTGACCGAAGAGCCCTTTCCCAGTTTTCCTTCTCACACTGCTCATCTAACTTGCAGGGCACCTAACACTGCAGAACCTACATGTCTGGGTCCCTAAGGGCAGGAACCTGCCTATCATGGCCACACCTTCTTATGACCTGTATGCCACCTCTCTGTTAAGCAGTCTTAGTTTACCTGGCTCTACTTTAGTGCTCCTGGCCCAGCTCTGTATATTGAGAAAATCCAAACACCTAGGTAGGGCTGAGCTGCTGCAAATCCCAAAGCAGGTTGCCTGCCACCAGTTCATTTGGCTGCCCTACTGACTGACCCCAGGAATCAAGAACATCACTTTCAGCCTCACCAAATTTGGCATCCAAAATCACTCAAACACCCCACCTGTGACCCTGCCTGACCTCCTTTCCTCCATCTCAGGAGTCACCTGCTCAAAGCAGACCACTGTGCTGTGCTATGCTATCTTTTCTATGCCCTTTCCCTCAACTACCACCCTCCCCCTCACCTTGGCTTTGCAGTCACAGTCCTCATAGCCTCAAGCTCCCTGACTTGCTGCCCCACCTCCTCCTGATCCTTAGCTCAACTTCTTGGCCAGCTGCCTAGGTGCCACTTTGGCTTCTCATCAACCACTATCTTAAACATCCTACCCACCCCATGCCACCTGCTCATGCACTCTGCCAGTCCTGGACCAGCAGGCCTGGCCTGGGGCTCACTGTGGCAGCTGAACTGCTGACCACTCCCTTTCTGGCCTCTGGAACACCACTCGCTTCTATCTTCCCACTGTTCCTGCCCCCACTGAGGTCCTAGGGGCTCCCTCCTCCCTGGGTGATCCCTACAACCTTTTGGTTTTACCAGGTAGTAATTCTCTGGGAGACCCTGACACTCCCCAACCCCCCAACTCCTGGGATCACTACACAAAGCCCTGCCATTCAAGCTTGTACATGGAGCTGAATGGGTTTCTTGTTTGTTATTTTGAGACAGGGCCTGGAACTAATTATGTAGACCTAGCTGGCATTGAACTCACAAGAGATCCGCCTGCCTCTGCCTCTCAAAGTGCTGGAATTAAGGCATGCACCATCACACTTGGCCTGAGCTGAAGTATTTTTTCTTAGAGTTTTGTCTTTTTGTTTTGAGTCAGGGCTTCACTATGGAGCCCAGACTGGTATTGAATTTGAGTCAATCCTGACTCAACCTGCACTAGAGTGCTGGGATTATAAGAAAGCATCACTAAACCTGTTTTTGAATGTCATTTCAGTTTTTGTCACAAGGCCGTGAGCTCCCCTAAGAATGGCTCAGTGACCCTAGCAACCTAACCGTGGGCTTATACCCAGTGGGTGTGCACTGGTTTTTATGTTTTCTGGTGTTGAGGGAGAGCTCAGGCACTCATCCCCTGGAGTACACTGTGCTTCTGACTGAACAAATTCTGGTTCTGTTGGTCACCCATTAGGCTAAGCACAGGAAGAAGCAGTGAGAGGAAAAGGCTGGTCTCTACCTGAATAGTGATGCCACTGGGACTCAAGCAGCAGGTCTGAGGGGCCATCAGCAGACCGGGGAGGACCTTCTGGAAGTGGCAGTAAAGGGTACCGGTCCTGGAAAGGCCTGCAAGGAGAGACCTGTCAGGAGGTTTCCCCTAGGCTAGGGGTCCCAGAGCCCCTGGGGAGGAGGACCTGGTCACTCACCCTGGGCTTTCCTCCCCAGGGGGTTCCCCAGGATTGTCCAGGTCCATCATACCACGTACTGTGGGTGTTTTCATGCGCACGCGACTAAACCTAGTGGAAGGAAGCATCAAGGGCTGAAATGCCTTCTGTCCACCTCCCCTGCTTGCTGCTCCAGCCTCAGACCCACACTTACCCACTGCCACTGATCCCTGGAATTTGAGGGGTATCCTCCAAGGACTCTCCATCTTCATCCAGCCGGGGGGCTTTGTTTGGGGGAGGAGCCGGAGAACGACCAGAGAAAGTGGACACTCTCTTGACACGGATGGCCTGGCGAGGTGGGCTGGGTGGCCCACTGCTGAACACCAGAGTGAGTGGGGGCGGAGGTGGAGGTGGGGCAGGGCGAACCACTCCTACCCCTACCACTGGCAATACACTGAGCAGGGGTCCTGGGGGCAGAGTCCAGGAAGTGGGGGTTGTGGGAGGAATGATAGGGGGTAGAGGTGGCTGCTTTACTGGAGGTGGGACAGGATCACCTTCCCCAGCCATCTTCACAAATACTTGCCCCAACTTATTGACAAGGATGATCTTGGATGTAGCAGGCTTAGGGGGCTCAGGAGCAGGGCCCAGGCTCAACACCCGGACCCCTGGAGCCCCAGGGAGCCAGGCAAATGTCCGTGTGGGGTCAGCTGGGCTAGGGGGCAGGCCTTGGGAGGGCTGGCTGCCATTGGCCAAGGGAGGTGCTATAGGAAGTGACTCCTCTCTGGGACCAGCAGCTCCCTCCCCGGGACCCCCTAGGTTCTTCAACACAAAATCCACAATTTCTGAAGGCAGGTCTTCAGGAGGTCGGGCTCTGTCTCCTGCAGCACCGAGGACCCCACCTCGGCCCACAACTGGTCCTGAAGGAGGAGTCCCCTGTCCCCGGGGTTGCTGCACAGCCTCAGCCTCACTGTCGGTGCCATCATCCACTCCATCCAGCTGCTCAATTCGGGGTACTCCAGAGAGGGGACTTGGGGCCAGGGCAGGGCCAGACACCACCGTCACAGGGAAGTGGACGTAGTGGGTAGTAGGACTGGCCTCCTCCTCTGAGCTGTCTCCTGGGCCCCCCTGACTGTTCCCCACTGCCCCTGCAGCCACAATCTCTTCTTGGAAGGGTTCAGTCCCCAGCAGGCTGGCTGCAAAGTCCAGGTCAGCAGCACTCAGTCCTGACACCACCTCCATGTCTTCAAAGTCTGGGCCCAGGTCTTCAGGGGGTGGTAGAGGAGATGGGGCCAGGCCATGGGGAGCCAGCTCCCCTGAGGTAGGTGTGAGGGCTGTGACTGAGGTAGACAGGGGCACCCTGAGCTGAGGGGAAGTTCTGAGAGGAGAGGAGGCCCGCCGTGATGGTGGCGGTCTAGGGGTCAAGGGGCTAGGACGCCGGGAGCGCCTGGGGGGAGCTGGGAAGTCCGGGTCTCCCACTGTAGGGATGTGGTGCGTCAGAGAAGATGGACTTCCTATGAGAGAAAGGGTCAGTATCAGCCAGCAGCTCCACCTTCCCCAGCTCTGCCCACTCTAGGACATTCCCATGTACTTACCGGGGGAGGGCAGGGGGCCAAAGGAGACACCCCCTAAGGGCCTCCGAGATGGCGAGTAGTTGGGCACTTTGATTCGAGCCCCTGAAAAGGAGCGGGGAGTAAGAGGAGGAGCACTGCTTGAATCTGGCCGAAGCAGGGGTTCCAGATTCTGAATGGGCGAGTAGTTTTCAGGAGCTCCAGGGATCAGAGAATTTGTATCTGGCAGGTCCTCATGATTAAGGGGCTCTGAAGAGGTAAGAGAATTATCAAGGAAGGTTGGGGGGTTGGGGGGGTCCTGTGCCAAAAACTCCTGCCATAAGTCCTTCCAACTCAATTGTGCCCTCTAGAGCCCAGACACACACTAATGTCCAACCATCACCTGAGCCCCAGACCATTTATGGCTATCTGAAAATGTTCCACATAGCCCTGGGTCAGTTCTTCCTGAACTCTTCCACCCACCCTTGGCTGTCTCTCTACTCCCTTGCTGCCCACTTCTCTTCTGTGGCAAGCCCCAAGTGCCCTGAGCTGCCAGCAAGGCCCTATGTCTAGCATAGCCAGCCTTATCACTTTTGTTATTGGTCCTGTGCACTCCTGCTCCATCAAACATATCTGTTGAGGCTCCAGACTCTCCTTTACCTAACCCCACCCAGGCTTTGCAAGCTCATCTTTTCCTCCCCCTCTCAATATTCTTAGTCTCTAGTCAGGAAGGATGCATTCTCCTTCCCTCTCTTCCATATGGAAAAAAAAGCTATTACCATAAACATCTCTTCCTCACCCTAAGTGGCCCATGATGTCCTCTCTCTTTACTGACCTCCAAGCCCATTCTCTGCTAAGTGGCATCTGGCTCTCAGCTCTGTCCCTCCGTATGGTGTGGTAAGATGCAGCCAGAGAAGTGACCAGATCTAGACCCTAATCTTGGCTCTACTATTGTTACTGTAGAGACACTCCACCCTCCTTGAACATGACCTTAAGATGGTCAATAAAACACTACAGGAGGACACAGCTCTCAGGAAGTCAGCTGTGAACACTCTTGTTCCCTATGGATGTCCACCACTGTACTTAAGCTCATAGCCTTGTGCTCTCCCTTCCCTTTTTGAGAAGGTTCAGCACCTGGGGTATACAACAAGGCCACTAAGCTACCTGCCTCAGTCATTACAAGGAAAAGAATAGCAGCATCCTAGAGTTTATCAAGGCAGGAACGGTATGGGGGTAGCTGAGTTAGAGTTTGGGGAGGGCGGCATTTGGGAAGGCAATGGGACAGTACCAAAGTGCTACCTGAAGAATGGGTGGGGCTATGCACAATGGTCTGGTTCTCCTCTGCAGCCTCCAGGTGAACCGGCTCCTCCCTTGGTCCCCACGGACGATACTCTAGAATTCGGCACCGATACCAGCAGCGCCTCCGAGCATCTACTGTGCTCCAGTATAGACGGGAGCACCTGGCAAGCAGACACGTAGAACAAAGGGGTTAGGACAACCTGAAAAACAACATCCAGCCCTGGAGTCTCCTACCCCTCATCAGCCCTGGAATGCTTACTGATAGCCAATGGGGAAGAGCCGACCCTCACAGTCTGAGAGATCAGACAGGGTGCCCAGGGAGTCGATTCTGATTGAGCCTGTAGTACAAAGGAGAAGTGAGGTGTGGTAGTCAGGTGAGGTTAGAACAGCAGGCAAAAGGGCAAGTGGCTTACCTATTAGTACATTGATGACATCAGGTTCAAGCCCAGTCAAGAACTTTCGCTTGAAGTTGATACCCTCAAAGTCCACATAGACTCGGCGGAGAACATCAAAACCATCAGGGGTCACAATCTCCTGGGAAGCAGGAGGCAAATGGGGTTGCTGGATTGGCAGAGGGCAGGGGAAAGTGAGGGAAAAGCTCTGCAGGTAAGGACTTATTAGTCAGGGGCTTGGCCTACAGGACCACAGGGGAACCTATAAGACAAAGAGAACGGGCAGCTGTGCCCCTAGCATCCTGGCCCACCTTGCCATCTAGGAGGTCTGTGTGTTTCTGGCAGAAAACCTTCTTGTCATCCTGGAAGATGCAGTAGCTGGCCCGGGCACACATGAAGTGGAAGTTGCTGAGGCACGAGGACAGGCAGCAGCCCACTGTGGCTCCGGGCTTCAAGCAGAGCTCACAGCGCTATGGGAGGAAGGGGAGGCTGAGGTGAAAAGTGTGGGGACAGTGGCTACAGTCTGATGTTACTGATATATAAGACTGGCCTAGCACCCCACACAGCCAAAGCTCTACCTACTAGCTATGCCCAGGGCCAGGTGCACACCTAAACTATCCCAGAGTTGTGAAGTAGAGTCTGGAGAAAGCAACAGCTTACTGGCTGGCAACTGCCATTTCCCAACCATTCTTACGGGAAGCCTGCTTTATTCTAGTTAGTCATTGTTGTCCAGCTCCTGTGAGGGAGCATGGGGTGCTCTGCAGGACCCAGCCCAGGCCCACAGTGAGGGAGGATTCTGACCCCGATTTCATTGGGGTGAGGAGACCACATAAAGAGGGAGAGGGCATTGTATAGAAGGTGTCCTAGAAAGGTGCAATTGGCAAGATATCTCACTTTCCATTTTCCGAGATTCAAGCCCAGATCATAACCAAAGAAAAAGTGTTATCAATCACCATAATGCTAGAGTATTAGGACGACCAAAAAGGGTACCTGGGGAACCAGGCACGATGGCACACACCTAAAATCCAAGCACTTCAGAGGGAGAGACAGGAGGATCAAGAGTTTGAAGCAAGACTGGGCTATGAGCTCCAGGCCAGCCAGGGGTTACAAAATGAGACCTTGTCTCCAAGAAAAAGAAAATGCTCAGAGACAGAACACTTGCCTAGTATGCCTCAGGCCCTAGGTTCAAGTCACTGCACCACAAGATGAAGGTTACTTAGGACCAGCAGTGGAAGGACATGTCCCAGACACTGTGAAATAAGAGCTGTCTCCACACTGCAGGGGATACTAACCTGGGACCAAGGCAGCCCCCTCTCCAGGCCCATGCCCTTACCATCTGTCTCCCTCGTGCTACAGCAGCATGAACATTCTTGAGGGAGCCATCATTCTCCTCAAACACTTCAGCGGACCAAATGGCACAATTGACATGTGTCCACTCATTCTGCCCAATGTACAGGAGCCGCCCTGCCTCCTGGGGGCAGAAGAGTAAGTAGTGGGGGTTTGCAGGGGGATGATTCCAAGAACCAGGCCCCACAACCTAGACCTTCACACAGCGGCCCTTACCTTGGAGTCAGCATCCCCATATTTGAGACAGAGTGCACACTGGCGGGGATCATCCAGGTGTGAGAAAGCAGCTGGATCCTTGCTCTGGACAACTGCAAAGGGTTTGGGAAGGGAAATCTAGAAATCAGACCTGGAGAGTGCCCCACCAATCATGTTCCAGCTCCCACTTCCCAGTCACAATACCTGCTGAGGGATCTCCTGGAGGCTGTCCAGATTCTGGGGTCTCTGATTCCTGCTGTCTCCACTGAGCATAGACATGGTCCAGAGATGGGGGCAACACCGCATTGGGGAGGACTCCGCTGTGGACAAGCAGAGTTGGCATCTGATGTGCTCAACAAAGGCAAATGAACTGCAGCCTACCCACCATTACCAGTCTTAACATGCTGTGACACCCTTCTTAGACCTCTTTCCACGTGAATTTTCTTAGTCCCCCAGATAAGTCAGGCACTTTTAGCATATGATGCACTGTTCCCCATGTTCTTGGAACAGTCTCCTTCCACCTGTCAGCTCAGACGTCATCTCTTCCAGGAAGCTTTCTTTGATCCTTAAACTGTAACAGGTGCTTGGCCTAGGCTCCTACAGCTTCCTGGGCTTCCACATCACCATCCTGACTACCTGGCCCATCAGTGCCTACCCAGCCCAGCCCCCCCACCCCCGCAGATGCCTTTAAGAAAGCAGAAACAAAGTGAGCGCCAACTACACACCTGCACCTCTGCTAGTCTAGAAGAACAGGGGAGGCTCACCCAGGTTCCACCACCCTTATCTCCAGTCTTGATCTGAACCCTACTCCTCAGCCTAGCCTGATCCCTGGAATCCCAGATACCCTTGTCTTTGCCCTCACTTGTTGGTCCCCCTTCTGCTACCCAGTCTTGCTCACTTTGGTAGCCGGGTACTTCGTCGCCAGTACTTGGGGTCGCGGGCATCGAACCAGCCGAATGCAGACTCTAGCAGCTGGAAAGCAGGGTAACAGAATAAGAACTGGTCTCCCATAGGAGTTGGTGGGGCAGGATCTGAAGGATACATTTTTCTGCCCCATCCCCCAATCACCCTACAGGCAATGCACCAGCATGTACCTTCAATAGGAGTCCCTTCATCTGACCTCCAGCCCGGCGCTCTGGGGTCTCTCCTTCTTCTGAGTGCCTCATCAGGATGCCTACCATGTCTTCCATGAAACTGTGCTGTACAAGAGTTTCTCAGGGTCTGAGACTGCCCCAAAGCCCCGCTATGCCCTCTCTTCTTGGCATCCACCTGCTCCTTCCTCCCCATGTCCCACTCACCACAGATTTGTAGTGGCCTTCCTCAAAGCGCTGACCCACAGCTTGCAAATCACAGGGTCCTGGGTGTAGCTGTTTCCCATCCTGCCCACACTGCAAATGGGGGAAGTCAGCAGGGCTGGGGCTGAGCCTGGCCCCACCCATCCTGCCTCCTGGGCCCTCCAGACCTGGGTGCACAGTAGCAGTGGGCCCGCAGCCTTGGAGCTCAGCAGGCCCTGGAGCACCTGGCGCAGGCCCCCCTGTAGGGCCCCACTTAGGGCCTCTCGCCAGCGGGGTTGTGTCGCCCCAGCACACGGACCACATGTGTACAGCACTGAGTCTGGCAGCCCAGAAAGGATCTCGTAGTCTTCATCTGCAACAGTTGGGTAAGAAAGGAGACAGTTGGGTAAGAATGGATTGGAAAGATTTAAGGGCTCCCAGGAGCCCCTAGGCCAAGGATGTTGGTCCACCTTTAATTCCTAAGCATCTCTGGTGGGGGTAGTGTTCCCTCAGGGCTGAGTTTGTGCCCTAGGTCCTCTCCTTCTCACCTGAGAGTCCCTCACACTTGGCATGCACCCAGTGGTCACACTGTGCGCACTGCATCATCTTGCTTTCATAGTCGTTATCTTCATAGCAGCGTGTACAAATTGGGCAGTAGTTTCCTGGAAGGAAAAGGAAGGGGCAGAAGTCAGAGAGGCCAGGGTTAACTCCTGCCCCTATTACTGACCACATTTAAACAGCTGCATAAGCTACCTCCACTACACCCTTCAGTCTGAGGACAAAGCCTGCTCTCTCTGTAGTCCCAACACTGTCAACAAAAAACAGCTTTGCTAAATGTGTTGGCTGAACAGAGGAGGCAGGCCTAGGTTTTCAAGCTGCCCAGTGGAAACTTGGGGCTCACTGAAGGATCTTAGAGACTGAGAGTGCATTTCCAAATTCCTGACTCCCACAATTCTCAAGAGTGGTTCTATGTCCACTGTATGTATACTGGAAGACTTTAGTTGAAGGATACCTTGAATCAAAGGCAAAGTTCAGCTGCTTGAAGGTAGTAAGTCACTAGACTATCTTTCTTGACTTTTACAACTGGAAGTCTTGAGTGGGACTCTACAGTCAGGAACCTGGCCTGTTCCCCTTTAGCCCGCCAGGCCCTGTTCTCCTGCCAGGTCCCACCTTTCTCATAGAGCTCGGTGCACCTGGGGCAGAGGCTGTAATCTCCAGACCACTCGACATCCCAGTTCTTGCCTGGAGTTGCCCCACAGCTCTTACAGCGCACACAGGCTGAACAGATCTGAGGAAACAGGGTGATGTTAGAAGAAAGCTGGACATCAGGCTGAAGTACAAAGGGGACATGGGGAAGAAGGGCCTAGAGAAACAGCTGAAGAAGGACCAATACAAGAAATGTGTGGGTAAGATGAATGGAAAGAGGAAGAGATGCAGAAATGGACCTGAGCTCAAAGCAAAGTACCATGAGCTTGGGAATATTGAACCCATGAGCCCCTGAATCCGTAACATCAAATTCTGCATCTACAGCTTGACTATGTGTGTTTTCTGCAGAGGAAATGCCATTTATCACATTCTCAAAAGCAATCCCCAAGTCTTCCCATTCAAGCTTTGGCCCACATTAAGTCCAAGGATGGGATGACTGAATGCCAAAGTAAGAGATATGGGCACATCTCTCACCCAGTGGTGTCGTCTACGAGTAGCCCGGGTTGGGTAGCTGGGACCCAGGCAGGCTGGGTGGTAAGCATGGCGGCAACGTTCACACTCCAGAAGGTGCTGGGGGATGGTGGAAGAAAAAGTAATGTAAAATATACTGCATAAGGATACCCCCTCCTGCCCTAGGCTGGCCAGTGCCCACACCTTGGATCCTCGGCCTTTGCGTCCACAGACATGGCAAAATTTGCAGCGGCGGCAGCACCAGGTATCATGATGCTGTGGCAAGGGCCGCTCAGTCTCCTCCAAGCAGAATGGGTGGAAAGGGTCACAGCAGACTTGGCAGAAGACCAGCTGAGAGGAGCAAGGAAATGACAGATAGTGTGAGGCTGGAAAGTCAGAGGACAAGCCTGGCTGGGAGGGCCCGGGCAGTCAGGAAGGGCCGAGGCAGACCTTGGGGAGTTGGGGGAGGGGCTGTCTTGTGAAAAAAAGGCAAAGTGCACCAACCTCGTGGAGGCCTTTGCTAGCACATAGCAGGCACACCATCGGTGGTCCCCCTGGCACAGAAGTGAGCACACTAAGACCACCCATCAGCCAGACGTTCTCAAGGTCACAATCCTCCTGTGAGGATGGACACAGGATTGATTGGAAAGCAGCCAGAAACACAAGTCAGATCCATCCTGAATGCCCTGGCTATTCTGACTAATCAAGTTTCTTCCACTATAGGCTCTGCAACCTGCCCACAATGCTGTACCTTAAAATCTACTCGGACCCGGTGCACACCATCAGGGGACTTCTGTTTTCCAGTCCAGCCATTGGGAAAAGAGGCAAAGGGGCCAGGGGCTAAAGCATCCTAAGGAAGGAAATGGGGTGGTCAAAGCTGCTAGCTCCACTCCTCTGCAGACTCTTTTCCTCACTGCCCGTCCCCCCAGCCTGCCAGACCCTGCCTTTTGCCCAGATCCCACTTGGCTTTCCAGATAGGCAAGGCTTGCCTCATCCCTCAAGACCTGTCCTCTGGTGAGGACACACCACAACACTCAGGTGTGCCCATCACCCTGACTTGCCAGGTAGCTCCTGGAGAGCAGGAGCCATGCCTCACACAGGGCTTGGGGTTCTCGGAGCGGGCCGTGCTGACCTTGTCCAGGCGCCTTCGGGCCTTGAGCTGCAACACAGGCTGCAGGGTGGGTTTGCGGGGCCGGCTCTGCTCCTCAGGTTCTAGCATTGGCAGCTCTAGGCAGGACATAGAACAGTACAGTTCCTCCCTCCCTGCCATGCCCCTTACCCCTCTTCACCTACAATCCCTAAACAATACCTACATTTATCGGGGCTTTCCCTAACTAAGGCTCAAAAGGAAGACCCTTAGGCCTTGCTCAATTAGCTCAGTGGGGACCTCAAACACCAATTCTGCGTCCCCCTTGAATGACTTCCTCCTCTGCCTTCAACCACTCTTGAATAAACCGATGGCCTTAGATTCCACCCTCAGCACTGCCAAAAAGAGGCACAAGACTGACGACTGTTTGTCAGAGGAAGTATCAGAAGGTTCGCACCATGTTCTCTGGGGGTTCGACGTCTCGGAGCAGGAGGACCCCCGGGCTCTGAGTCGTCTGAGTCCTCGAAGACATCATAGGAGGGCCGCTGTTTGACGCAGCGTCGGGCTGACTTGCGCTGCAGTAGGAGGGAGTCCTGCTCCTCGGGCCCGGGGGTGGCTCCCACCTCCTCCCGGGGCCCCCCAGCTCCCGCCCCCCGGCGTGCGCCTGGAGGACCAGGGGAGGCCTCAGGAGATTCATCGGAATCCCAGGGCAACAGCGTCTTCACTATCGTCCGGCCTGTGGGGACAGGGGACTCAGTAGGATTTGAACTCAGCCAGGGACATGGGACACCAGGACAGAGGGAAGCCAGAAAGAAATGCAGCACAAGAGAAGGAATGCAGGAAAGATATGCAGGCATTTGGTGGAAAAGGACTAAAGTGCAGGCTGCAAAGGCAAAGGGGAGAGCAAAGAAAACACGGCTTCCTTCACACCACTAATCTACCTAAGGTTTTGTGAAGAAATGCTCTTCACATCTCATTACCTTTTTTTGCCAGCCGCTCCATCTTCCGAGCCTCTATTTTGTCACACTTCCGGTATCTGGGGAGGGGAGCAGCACGTCACCAGGGTAGGGGACTGGTGGTCTGGGGGAAGAGAGGAAACTCTCCACAAGGATGCCAATCCCACTGCTCTGGCTGGACAGAAGAGGGGCTGGGCCAGGAGGCTCAGGTAACTGACACCCCAGGAGGGAACAGAGGCCACACCCCAGCTACTTACACACAGCACTGCTTCTTGGTGTTGGGGCCCCCAAACTTGGGTTTGTCCAAGCAGTTGACACAAGACCCACAGTCCTGCACACGCAGGCAACCCCGACAATGCCCACAACGAGCCATTCTCATCTTCTTGCCGTGGTGGGAGGGCAGTGGGCGTCGGGGGGTGTGGGCCAGGGCCCCCGCAGTCCCTGCAGGCTCCAAGTCTCCCCCAGGCCCTGCAGATTCCACCTTTTCCCGCTGGGACCGGGATGGGACACTCTCAGTCTCAGATGCTGACGATGTATCTATTGCAGCAGATGGGAGTACAGATAGAGCCACAAAGCCACCTACCTCATGTCCCTAGTCCCCTTCCACTCCCAACACTGAACCAACCTCTTTGTCCAAGACCTCATAGCACTCCAAACCACTCACCCCCTACACCTAATCCTATCCCTTCACTCAGCTGTCCAGTGCTCTTGCTCATGCCCGGACTTGATTTGCTGTCAAGCCTCACCACTACATAGTCCCCTACCCTCTGTGGCAAGGTCTTGCCGGTCTCGGAGAGGAAGGGCACTGAGGCGGGGGACATCTTCAGGCACCATGGCCCGAGCCTGACCCAGAGCCACAGCAGCATGACGGCAAACATGTTTGATGCGAGGGCCTTGCACAGGGGACTCAGGGCCCTGGGAGAGGAAAAAACAAAACAAAATAAAACAGGAAACTGTGTAAGAAGTTGCTCCCTGTGGTCCTACGACCGCCTTCTTCAGAGGACCCCCTTCTCACTGCATACCGAAGCTCGCTCTCTCTTAGCTTCCACGGATTCATCTTCAGACTTGACAGAGCCTCTGTCTGGGGTCTGCTTGACCGTCCCTACAGACTCCTCCATTTGTATTGCAGGGCTTGGCTGGCAGGAGAATGAACAGAGTCAAGGGCTGCAATGTGAGGACATGTGGGAGCAGGGCAATAGCAAAGGGAAGGGATGGGACCAGGGAAGAAACAGGTGGTGGAGACAAAGGGAGAACTAGTCCTGAGGGTCCTGCTGGACAGTGTCTGGGGAGGCAGCTGCATGGACTGGCTGCAGGGGCCTGGCCAAAGCACCATGCTCACCGGCATTGAAGCTGCCACTTTCTGCTGCTGCTGCTGGTCAATCTTGAATAGCTGCACCTTAGCTCTCTTGAGAAGGCTGAACATTTTTTCTTCCACCCCAGACAGTGGCAGGGAACCCATGCTTGTAACACGGACCTTTTCCAGAGGTGGTGTGTGTTGTGATGATGGAGCTGGTTGCAGCTGTAACTGTGGCTGTACGTGTGGGTGTACTTGTGGCTGCTGTGGGGGTAGTGCCTGGGGCAGGAGCTGGGACTGCAAGGCCTGCAGGGGCTGCTGTAGCTGAGTCTGAAGCTGCTGCCCGCTGCTCAAAGATGGAGCTCCATGGGGGCATACCTCGACCTTAACGGGAGTGGTGACCACGGGGGCAAATCGAGGCAAGCTGAGGTGGTTGGTCCGCCCCACTGCCCGAGGCTCAGGCTCAGCTGGAGAGTCATCAGCAGGAGGAGGCTCTGGCTCAGGGGCTTCAGGAACCCCAAGAGGAGGAGGAGTAAGCACCGATTCATAGATCTTCAGGTGAGCTTCACTTGGGGTAAACTGAGGGGCCCGAAGGAGCAAGGGCCTCCGGGAGGGAGTGGCAGGGGCAGGTGGAGGGGATGAAGCTGGCGGAGATGAGGCTGGTGGAGGAGCAGGAGGAGGAGGTGGCAGCTCCCGGGTTAGTGAGGTCCAACGAAATGTGGGTTCCCTTAGAATGGAACGTCTCTTCTCAGGAAGTGGGACTGGGATAGATGGGGGGGTTGGGACGCGAGGTGGAGAGGGGACTGGCACTGCTTCCTGGGGAGCAAGTGGGGAGGTTGCAACGGGAGGTCGAAAAACAGGTGAGACCTCCACCTTTGGAGGTTTGGGAGGATCTTCATCCATAAATCGCCGGGGAGTCTTGATGACACGGGAGGAGCGGGCACTCACTACAGGCATAATAAATTGTCGGATATTCTTCAGGAAGGTAGTACTTTTGGGGGCCACAGTAGGGCTATCTTCCAGAGGGCCTCCTGTGGTGGTGCTGGCATTCGGAGTGGGAGAAAAGGTGCCCTCTGGCCCTGCCCGAGCAGCTTCCCGCTCTGCCCGCTGGCTGGGAGTCAGGGGGGGCCGGCCCCTCTTCCTGGAGCATGTCACTGGGACTATAGGAGGGGACTCTTCCTGCTTCTCTGGGGCTGGATGCGGGGGAGGGGATGCTGG